ACGAAGGGTATTATTGTGGGCATCGATTTGTGCAATTTTGTCAACCGCCCTGAGTCGCCCTCAGGCTGAGAATGGCGGTATAGAAATATAGTAAGCAAGTAAATAAATAAATAAATAAATAAATAAGACCACTGAATATCAAGAATTAACAACAAAATATTATACAGGACTTCTAGATTATATCCTGTTTATATCTTCTGAAGTAAAAAAAAATCTTTTACACTGCCAAAATACATAATCATGATTACAGGCATAGTCAAATTGTAATATGATTATCATTACAGTATTTATATATTTGATGTTCATGCCTTGTATTTATTTATGTTTTGTATACAATTAGTTGTGTAGTGAAGGTACATATTTTATAAGAATTTATTTCGGTTTAGATCTTTTAAAAAGGATGGTAGGGATATCTACATCATGCTGTGTAAGAAAGTGTAAACAAGGAGCATGAAACTATTTGTTTCAATATTGAAAACAATTAGTAGCTACATTTCACATTGTTGAACTGCTATGGAACAATATAGCTTAATCCAAAGTATGTTTAGTTTTTCATCTCTTCTTTTCTCTGAGACTTGCAGTAACCACCCATCTACTAATAGTAGTACTTAACTTTTTAACATGTTGGAGACTGAAAGCAAGTATATTCACAGAAGTACTGCAAGTAGGCAGTAGGTCCTCTAGCTAAGTGTTTATCAAACTCTGCTCCTCCAGGTGTTTTGGACTTCAGTTCCCAAAAATCCCAGCTAGTTTACTAGTTGTTACAAATTTTGAGGAAATAAAAGATTGGGCAGAAAGGGAGTAGTAATGCGCCAGGAAATTCCTATGAAGATAATGTTTGGACAAATGCTTTGCAAAACCTTGCAGAACTCTCAGATTATGGAAAGCTAGAAAATGTGCTTTGGTGCAAAATTCAAAATATTCAGTCTGTTAAGCAATAAAATTATAGTGCTGTGCTTAAGTAACTTCATCTTCCAACACCCAAGAACAAACTGGAAGGATACATAGAAAAGTGGAATGTTCTTTCAATGTGTACTTTGTTTTTCATTCATATAAGAAAAATTCAAATCCAAGCTGAGGTTGACTCAAATGACTAGAAATTAAAGCTAAATAGACTTTAAATGAAACATAGTTCCGATTCATAGGGGTTGATCTGTTGATTGGTTGTGATAAGAGTGCTCCAGCTTGTTTTTTTATGATGATCAGATACACGTGTGTGATCATTAAACTGTTCAGATAAATCTAAAGCCCTTATGATTGTGTAGAGAGATATATTTTACAATCACGGAATTAAAGAGTTACAAGTCACCACAAGGGCCATCCAGCCCAACCTCCTGCAAGGCAGGAAGACACCATGAAAGCACCTCGACAGATGTGTTTAGACAGCCTTATTGATATTAGTAACGATGTATGGCTTAGATGACTTTGTTGTTCTGGATTAAATAGTTCTAATTCTTCACAGGCCTGAATCAACAAGATTTCTTTGCATATCCTGTGTTTAGAATGCTTTACTTCCTGATATAGCAATACATTTAAAAGTTGCATTGGACTAAACCATCATACTGGCTGCAGAGTGGAATGAAATTCTGTAATAGATGCTGTTAAACCTTTACCATCTCTGCTCTGTTTTTTCATTGATTTCACTTTCCTCCTTAGTAATTCTTAATGATACCCAGTAGAAGGAGAAAATGCTCACCCTTTCAATATGTACCCTTTTCTGCTACAGAAATGCCAGTCCTCTGAGTTTTAATTAGTGATTAATTGCAGTCACCAATAGAAAAAAAATCATGTATTGGACTATCAGACTGAAGTGGGAATGACATATTTGAGTCTGTCTCATAGAAATACAAGCTAAAATCTAGATCCCCACCATCTTTTTTTCTAGATGCTAGAAATTTTGAGTTGCAAAGGATTCATACTTGATTCTTCCATCTGTAACAAACTGATATAGTTTAGGAAAAGTTCATATTGTATCCTTCAGGTTTAGATTTCCATTATTTCTGAAAGCCTAATCATAAAATCATATCATGCGGGTATATCTTCTGGAGATATAATTAAAATATAGTCTGTATATGTGATGAATCCATATGTATCACTAGGTGTGTAAAAGATATTTGCATTTTCTCAGCCTCAGTAGGAATGAGAAACAAAACAAGAAATGACATTGCACGAAATGTCAGGTTTTTTTTTCCTCTTTGAGAGCAAAAAGAATGAGCCTTTTGGGAGTTGTTCACTTTTAGTCGTTTTTTTGTACAGATGTGTCACGTTTTATAACCTTTCTTCTCAAGCACACACATTGTTTCTCATAGTTATGTTTAAAAAATAGTTTTGTGGAATGCATTGTCTCCTCCAAGTGTTGACACAAGTATCAGCATGAATTGCTAATGCAAGCTGCTCGGAAAGAGAAACTGGGATAAAACAAGCAGCACAAGATAAAGCTTTGGAGATAGCAGTAACGTGAAAACATCAGGATCTAATAGCTAAATCCTTGAGGGGGGAAAAGAGAGGATCAGGCTAAACAACACTAGTATTTCTTCAGATCTGTAAAGCATTTTTTCAAGATTTATTTATTGTCCTGCCTTTATCTTAGGGCAGAACTCAAGGCGGAAGGCATTAAATAAAATATAGTGAAAACTCAATTCATTATTATATTGAACAATTAACAACAATTAAGGAAAGTACAGGTTGAGCAATTCCAGAATTCTGAAATTGAGAATACTCTAAAATTGTCCACATGGGTAGCTGAGAGAGTTGACAAATTATAATAAATATTTCTCATGTATAAACTGTTGGCAATATAATTTGACTAAAAATTAGTAAATATTCACGGTTTATATACATGCAGTAAGGTTAGGCACATTATCATAATTATTAAAGAATTACCTATTGTGGAGAAAATTGAAATAGCTGTTGCATAAAAACCAGAGCCAATTAACACATTTAATTATTATATTTGAATTCAGCATATTAAATTTATTAAGAAACGGCACATTTCGTTTCCGCAACTGAGAAAAACTGAAAATTTGTAGAACAGTGCTATGTTCCATACACAAAATTTTAACTAAATATTGTATAAAATTACCTTCACTCTATGTGTATAAGATTGTGTATGAAGCATAAATGAATTGTATGTTTAGACTCGTGTCCCATCTCCAATATATCTCATTATGTTGGTGTATGCAAATGGAAGCATTCAAAAATCCAAAAAAATCTTCTACTCCCAAGTATTTTAGATAAGGATTCCTTGACCTGTATCATATTAAAACAAACACAGAATTTAAACAACAGAATTTGGCAATATTATAACATTGGTAACATTTCCCAGTAACTATTTGTAATAATTCCCAGTAAAAGAGCTTCCTGCAGGCATGACTGGATAAAAGAGCTTTTGCGTGGTGGCAGATGGAGAGTGGCTTTCTCAGCTACTAAGAAAGCCACTCTCATGTTTTCACCAATAAGACTGAGAGAAAGCTTTCCCACAAAAGCCTCAAAACTCTGACAAGCTCATATGTGTAGATGTAGTCTGTTAAATAGTTTGGACTTATGCCAGATAAGGTTTTGTAGGTTATAACCACCTCTTGGAATTGTGCCTGGAAACAGATTGATGTCCAGTGAAATTCTCAAAGCAGAGTTTCATTTGAACAGTGCAACTCTGGTCAGCGGTCTATCCATAGCATCTTGAATGTGCTTAAGTTTCCTAACACTTTTCAGAGTAGTCCCACTTAGAGTGTGTTGCAGAAATCCAAACAGGATGGTACCGAGGTATGTGTCACCAAGTCATTAATCTCAAGGAATGTCCGCAGTTGGTGCATAGTTTTAATTGCTCAAGTGCATTCATTCTTGGCTATCTTTGAAACCTGAGCAATCCAGTCTCGAGACCTGTACCAAAAATTCGGTTTACATTAACAGTATAATCCCACCCCAGGTAGGTTAGATTCCAATTCTCTGTCTGCCTTTTGATTGACCAGGAGGACTCCACTCCTCTTTAGAGAAAGCTTCAATCTGATCATCAGCTTGTTACTGATGTTTGTTACTGATACTGATAGCAACTAAATAGCTTCCTTGGCATTAGTTGAAAAGGATCAATAGAGGTGGATGTCATCAGAATACTAGTGCTACCAAATTGAACAACTCTAGGAAAAACCCCTTCAGTGGCTTCATATATGTGTGAAGTAACATGGGAACACTATGGAGCTCTGAATTATCCCTACAAGCCAATTGCCTCTCTAGGACCACTGTAAAATAGTATTCCCAATTCCATAGATGCAGTCCAGATGAATGCTAGGATCAATGATACTGAAGGCAACCAAGTAATCCAGCATAGCAATAGTAATTTATCAAAAACTTTTTCTGGGCCAGCATTTCTGATGGTCTTAGGCACCCTTTTGGCAGAGAGGAATGAAAATCTGTCCACCTGTCCTCTTCCTTTTTGGAAACATACAGCAAATCTTCCCACCAAAAGCCCTCCTCAGCTGTGATTGGCTGGCCTCTCAGCCAAGGGGAGGGCTGTTTTAGGATTGGGGGTCATCACAACATGAAGAACTGTATTAAGGCATCACTGTATTAGGAAGGTTGAGAAACATTGATCTGGGCCCTTCCACACAGTCATATAACCCAGAATATCAAGGCAGAAAATCCTACAATATTTGTTTTTAACTGGGTTATCTGAGTCCACGCTGGCATATATTCCAGTTCAATGTGGATTTTATTCAGTTGTATGGAAGGGGCCCTTGTCCCAAAGCCACAATGAATGGAGGCAGATAACTTGTCTCTTCCAGGATAAATACTGGTCTAGACTGTTACGTTCATTTAACCCATTATTCTACAGTATCCTCCAGTTGTTATTTTTCCCCCAGAATAGTTTTTTTATACATGCTGAGGCAAACAAAATAAAATTGTTGTGAATTTGAATAGGAACTGTTTTTGCTACTTTTAGTTTTCTACCATGATTCTCTTATTTTAAAGCGGTCTTCATTTTTAGTCTGTTCTTTCTCTTTCAGCACTGGTTGGACAACACAAAAAGTATTAAAAAACAAGTGAAAAGTAAGTGAGTTTTAAAAAATAAAAACATACTTTTTAGCTAAGTATAGGGTACTTAGCTCTTGTGAAGAACCTGTTTTATTCAAAGTTTACTCTGACAGAAGGAACCAGTATCAACAAGAATGTTGCAACACCAGAAACTTGGCGTTGAACCTCCCATTGACTCATGTTACATTATTTCATTATTAAACAGGTCCTCAATTCTGAACTAACTAGGTGTGGCATAAGGGGTTTTTAATGTACTTTTGCTTCTATGTTTTTATATCATTTTTATACAATTGAATATTTGTACTATATTGTTTTAACTGTGTTTTATTTTAACATGCACCGTAAGGTGCTTTAATGCAGTTTGACATCACTTTAATTGCCATTTCTCAAATCTATGGTACCACGGGAGTTGTAGTTTGGAAAGGTTTTCAGCCTTCTCTGCCAAAGAGTGCTGGTGCCCCACCAAACTACAGTTCCCATGATTCCATACCATTGAGAGTGCAAATTAGTGTTGTGAAAATGCATTAATTCCACTATGTAGATATATTCTTAGTCTTATACTAGGAGAAATTAGCAGAACATTTAAACAAGATGTGTTGAAGTTATGGGAAAGAAGTGGGCTTGGCCTCATGTAAGCCGCACCGAGTCCCTTAGGGAGATGGTGGTGGGGTACAAATAAAGTTTTACTATTATTATTATTATTATTATTATTATTATTATTATTATTATTTTAAGTCACAGTCAAGGTTTCTGTATTCTTTCTCTGCCCTAATAATTTTATTCGTGAGCCAGTTGTATTGTTTTTTTCTGTTTCAGTTTATGTTCTTACTTTTAAAAAAAAACCAAAATACATAAGGGGGCAGAAACTTCAATAGTCTGGTTGAGCAAGTGTATTGTTAATACATAACATCATGAACTTCCTGATACAGGATTTCTCTCATTTGAAGGGAATGAGGCGTGGAATCTAATACTATTCTTGTTGTCTTAGAAGAGGTCAGCTTTGAGTTTGAAGGCAAAGTATATCTAGTTTGCTGCAGACATTTTTTCCAGGCAGAGTTTTAGGTTTCCACTTTACTGAGGGCAAGGGAAAATTGTAATACTTTTGAAATGTAATATTTAGTGGCCTAATATTGATAGGCAAACAAAATGCAAAATTGAATGCCATTGAACATGGTCAGGAAACAGAGGATTTTAAAAGAGAAGAGGAAAGTTAATATTAGGAGAAAATATTATGTTCCAGGAAGACATGTTTGTTTTATTTATATTTCAGGAAAACACTTCTTGCAGTCTGACATATAAATCTTACATGGATATGTAATTTTTAAAAACCCATCAATATCCCTCCTGCCTGGATTAAAATCACTCCCGAGAGAACCTTAAGCCTCAGATTTGACTCTTCATACTACATAATGTGTAAACACAGAGACATTATATTTCTATTGGAGTTGTTTCTCCAAATTGTATGGATAGCTGGGCAGTGACTCTGTGTATTTTACTAGGTGCTCAAGGAAATGTAGGGATTCATGGAGTAGAGCCTTGTAATATCAGGATTACCCTAGATTTCTCTGTCCTTGGCAAGGCAAATCAAATTAATGTGATGCAGCTGAGATGACTTCTTTATATGTGAAACTACTTTTATCTGTAATATTTATTTATTTACCATTTTTATACCCCACCCTTCTCAACCCTGAAGAGGACTCAAGGTGGCTTTACACATAGGCAACTATTCAATGCCTTAAGAACAACATACAATTAAAATAAACATTGAAATTAAGATTAAAATTAATACACATTAAAACAGTTTAAAACATTACATCCAACATTAAAACCACGCCACCCACAGTCGTAATCTGAGGCCAATCCAATAGTCATTGCACATATTCCATATCCATCTATTGCACTACAATTCTTCTCCAAAGGGTTGATGTCGAAGCCACGTTTTCACTCTCCTTCTGAAGGGGGGGGGGGTGGAGGGGGAGAGGGCTGATCTAACATCACTGAGGAGGGAGATCTACTAGTATTCTTGCTTCTTACTGGCTGGCTTTATGTATAAGGTACCCATTGTCACACAGTGAAATCAATGCATGTTACCATTACAGCCGTTTTTTAAATGTCTTAGCTGTAATAGCAAAGGCTTATGTTTGCAAAATTCTATCCTTGTCACTAACAATAACATATTACCTTTTTGTAGTTGGCCCCCCATACTGTCTGCATCTTCGTGTAAAATTTTACTCTTCCGAGCCAAACAACCTACGAGAAGAACTCACAAGGTACATTGTATGTAATGATACAAATCAGAATATAAGGAAATGCTTTGTCTTTGCTAAGCCTGTCCTATGTATTGTATGCTTTTCTGAGTCCAGCCAACCTTCCATATCTGCAGATTCAGCATTCATGAATTCATCTTTCCACATCTTGAAAATAACCCATTTAAAAAAAATCCCAAAGGCAAACATTGTTTTTTTGCCATTTTATATAAGGGACATCATTTTACTACATCATTGTATATTATGGGAATCAAACACCAGTGGATACCAGGGACCCATGGTATTGAGTTCTGCAGATACTTTTCTATTATAAAATAAAATTGGAATTACAGTTCTCTTAGATGATTCCCACAAATGCTCCTGAAAGTCTCGAATGAATTGGGATTATACCGCGAAGTGTTAAGGCCAAACCTCTCATTAGCTAAAAGCATATTTAACAGTACAGTTAAACAAGAAGTCCTGGCACTTCAAAGATATTGTAGCTCTTGGTATTGGGGTCCCTTCTTTCTACAGGAAGTTAACTAGTCCTCCTTCTTGGTCTTTGTACTAGATATGGCGTAATAGCAGGTTTTTCCAGATCAGTTATTAAAATACATCATTGAAGAAATATTGGCAATTTGATAAACATTATCATTTTTTTCATAGTCCACTCCTTGTCCCAATACTGCATCCACAGAAATCTGGTAAAACTGTAACTACAGAATGGGTAGTCCTTAATTTTGTATTCTTATGATGAAACAACATAATGCTTACTGCCGTCCTTGCAGTGGAGAGGCCACAATGCATTAGGTAATTTCAAATAGTAATACATCCAAGAATTAGGCTGTTGATATCTGTAACATCCCAGCTCTTTTCTAGTTCTAAAACTTCTCACCTGAACTGATTCATTTTTTCTTGCTTCCCCTGAAACAGATATCTATTTGTTCTTCAACTAAGACAAGACATTCTGAGTGGGAAGTAAGTACTGTTGACAACAAATAAGTACAATAGAGTCTTGCTTATAAACAGAACCTTGGATAAACGAAAATGTTGGATAATACGGAGTCTCCTACTGTTACCTGTCTGACGCGGCGCTAGAATACTAACAACAGGGACTCAAAGGGTTAAGGCAAGGCCTCAGGGCTAGAGCCGCCCAGCAGGAAGTGCCCGGATGCGGAAGATGAGCGTGGAAATCACAGAGGGAAGGAGGGAAGATGCTTCCGCTTCTGGGCCTGTCTCTTTTCCCCCTTTCATCCCTCCTCGTCGTCTTACCCTTTTCACTTATTGGGAATAGAGAGTGAGTTGGGGAGCGCTCCTTTAATTGAAGGGGAAATGCTGGAGGAAAAGGGGGCATCGGATAAGACAGAATGTCGGATACGCAAAGGTCGGATAACCGAGACTCTTCTGTAAGGCTTTTTGCCCAATTAGATATATGTAGCTCATTTACATTACAAACATATATAGAACTTGGATATCTCCAATTAGTTACTATTCACCAAGATCTATAACAGAGATTATCTTGTAATAAATGACAGTTGCAAATACTTCTGTGCAGGTATATTCGGATTCATTAGTTTATAGTCTACAATAAAATGAATATAGTATAATATTGCTCAGATTTCTGCTGGGATTTTTGCAGGTGGGAGGAAAGTGGTGGGTTTAGGGATGAGTTGCAATTTGGTACCTTACTAGTATAGTATTAGCTATTAGTTACTTTATCTCATATTGTAAATGTCGATTGTATAATTGATTGTGTAAATGGGAAAGGTACTAATGATGACCTTATTATTGAACCTATTCTAGGCAATCTTATCGATCTTTTTTCTTCTTAAATAATAGCTTTGTGAAAACTGAAATATATTGTGGAAGGTACTATGTTGAAGAGGATGTTGCTTTGAACATATATATAATTCCCTTTGTAGGTTCAATAATAATTACTGCCATTAGCCTAAAATATAGACACATAATTATTTCCCAAAAGTTCTTTAGTGATTTCTCTGACACCATTTTTTTCTCTGTTGAAGATTGGAGTGTCCCTTTGAAACAGCAGTGCAGCTGGCAGCTTACATGTTACAGGGTGAGTTGCCTGAAGGGAGTCAACTTTGGTATTACTTGAGGCGTAATATTGCTGTTTACATGCAGTCACGTGTAAATACTTTGTCATAACAACTGCCAGTCATGAAAAAAATATTCAGGAGTATTTTGTAGCTGAAAATCTACTTCATGTTCAGCACAGCAAATTAATTGAAAAGCTGATAATGATCTGTTTTGTGAAGTTTATACGATGGACACTGAAACAGTCAGTTCAGACTTTGTTGTTGCTGACAATTGGGTAATTTGATTTTAGTTAGCTCTAGCATAAACTAGCCTTGAGGGCAAGTAACTAGCATTGTGGGAATAAATTATAGATTTAGAAAGTGCTGGAATGCTGCATAGAAAAGCTTGTGAAAGTGCTAGTTAATTTTTTTGTAATGAGCAGAGAGGTTTTCAAGGTAAAGTGAATCTATTAAAACATTTTATTTGGCGTATAATTTAATACATTTGTCACATTATCCACTAAGCTACTTTCCTTCCATTTATTTCACATTTTCTCCTTTATGATTCTAAAGAATCTTTGAATTTTGGTAATAAACCTGCTTTGAATGTGGAGTATTATCACAAAACTAAGACTTGCCCTGCTCAGTAACAGTATTTATGACAGAACTAGGAAATACACTCCTGCTTAAAGTCTTTGTAGTGTATGTATGAAGGATCTTTCAGCCAAATCTGCCCCTCCTCCTATCAAGGCAGCAGTGTTACAGTGTGTAATTTCATAGCACAGTGTGCAGTTTCAGGGATGGTGCACAACACATTGATATTATTTATATTTTCCAAGCAATATGTGAGTGGATTTTATTTACTGCGTAATGCTATGATTTGGGAATGAAGAGAGTTTAAAACAACAATTAGTCTTGATGAAAAGGAAATATATCCTGAAAATGCCTTTGAAAACTCGCCTGTTTCTTTTAAGATGTTTTTTCCTCCCTTTAGGACTGCTACGTTTTTCTTTCTTTATTTGTGCTCTCATATTATCAAAATGAAAATGAGGATATTGCATAATTCTGCCAGTCAGTTTTGACTCCACGATTGTGTCATTCAGGGAAAACTAAACCAAGAGAGAGGGGGGGGGGGGGGGGGAATAATCGAGAGCAATGCAAATGCATAGAAGGGAATTATTTTTACCTATTATAATGTTGCCTAGCCAATGGTGGGAAGGTATTTCTCAACAGGGCTGAAATGTTTCCCAGATTAGAAGGTTCGGTATTGTTATGTTTTTGTTTCTCCATCAAGGACAGCATTATTTTTAACCACTTGCCTGCTTGCCAAAGACAACAAGGAGCTGCATTCAGGCTACTTCAGTAGTTTCTAGGGAAAGAGAGAAAGAGAAAGAACTCCCTCTCCCTCTTCCAGTAGTACACTGCCTCTTACACTTAGGCAGAAGAAGCAACTCTCCCTCATATGGATCCTTCCTGAGCAACCAAGTGGGATAGCAGCACCGGCTTTCCTTCCTTCCTTCCTCCTTCCTTCCTTCCTTCCTTCCTTCCTTCCTTCCTTCCTTCCTTCCTTCCTTCCTTCCTTCCTTCCTTCCTTCCTTCCTTCCTTCTTTCGCTTGCTGTATTTTCATAGGATATTACCCTATAACACATTTAGCCTAAAGCAGTGGTTCTCAACCTGTGGGTCTCCAGGTGTTTTGGCCTACAACTCCCAGAAATCCCAGCCAGTTTACCAGTTGTTAGGATTTCTGGGAGTTGGAGGCCAAAACATCTGGGGACCCACAAGTTGAGAACTACTGCCCTAGAGCTTTAAGCAGTCTAAAGTTTAAAAGAGAACAATTCATTTTTCTAGTACTGTGCTAGCCTACATTAAATAAAAATCATCTAACCCTTTTCTTACTCATAAGAACAATTGGCAAAGAAGTTCCCTATATTTATCCAAACCAGATTTCCATATTTTGGTGCATAAACAATAAGCATGAGATGTGTTCTGAAAATGGCTGTTCCTAATGGGAGATACTTGGTACAAATACTGCCTAAGAGATAATGCAAATATTTTCAGCATTGGGGTTTTGTGTGTAGTTACATATGACTTTTAATGTTAACTTCATTGATAGTTCCAAAAAAATTCATTTCATGCTGTCAGAAACAATAAAATAAAAGGATGTGAATATCTAGGGCACTCAGACAATGAAATAACTCATTATTTGGATTCAAACAATTGCAGTTTTTAATAAAAAATATTTGGTCTTAACTAGAATTTGCTTGAAATATCCCTGTCTTTTATAGCTGAACTGGGGGACTATGACCCTGCTGAGCATATCCCTGACATAGTGTCAGAATTCAGGTTTGTGCCGAGTCAAACTGAAGAGATGGAACTGGCTATTTTTGAGAAGTGGAAAGAATACAGGTAACAACTCCCAGACGATTACTCTCTATGCTTAGTTTCTACCCAGTTGCCTTGTGGACTAACACTATATGCATCACTCCCTCTTAATGAAGCAAAATTTTGCTTTCAGTTCATATCTATGCTTTCCTTAATTTTACCGTATTTGGTTTAGAGCAGTGGTTCTCAACCTGTGGGTCCCCAGATGTTTTGGCCTTCAACTCCCAGAAATCCTAACAGTTGGTCAACTGGCTAGGATTTCTGGGAGTTGTAGGCCACCTGGGGACTCACAGGTTGAAAACCACTGGTTTAGATAAATTAGAATTTAATACAAAACCTATTTTCTTAAGCCCTCTGTTCCATATTAAAACATGCATAAATGGCCATTGGTGATAATCAAAATAGTACAGAACGCTACTATTAAGTTTCATTCATTTATTCTATAAGTCCTTGCAGTTCTCCATTTGTGTGATTCTTCTGTAATCTCTTCTTCCTATTGAGGCATGTTCTTTTTAATGTTCTGTGATTTTTGTGTAACATAAATTATTTCAGGGGTCAAACACCAGCACAGGCAGAAACAAATTATTTGAACAAAGCAAAATGGCTGGAAATGTATGGAGTAGACATGCATATAGTCAAGGTAAGTTTATGATTACAGGCTTTGGGAAATGATACTTTTAGTAATTAATTATTTTTTTAAAAAATGTGGGAAAATCAGTGAGCTGTTTAATTAAATGTACAGTCTACATAATATGGTAGAAGATAGATGGGATCTCCTACTCATACAACCTACTCTACATATCTGATCAGCTTACAAAAGGCATCTTGATTATGGTAGTCAAAACCTGCTGGGCATCTACCATAAACAGTTATGGCCAATGCTGCTGCTTATAATGACTGAATTCTATGCCTGTAACAGACTTTTACACCAATTGTTCTGGAGACCAAGAATAAACAGCACCATGAATTGTTTTATTTAAACTTATATTGAGAATAAAATAAAGTTTTGAGATGGAATGTAGAAGATGAGTTCATATTTTTTTAGTCTCATGTACCATTTATGTTATATGCTACACTTGTAGTGCCTTGTAAGCTGCCCCGAGTCCCTTTTGGGAGATACTGGTGGGATATAAATAAAAGTGGTTATTATTATTATTATTATTATTATTATTATTATTATTATTATTATTATATTGTATATGGCATGAACAGAGAATCTGATAAAACCAGTAGGAGTCTTCTTCCAACTAATGTAGTTAGGATCTGTTGAAAAGTGAACATGATACAGCTTTTACTTCTCTAGAATAAAATAAGCACAACATTTTGTAATGTCATATTTTTTGTATATGGCCTGAACAGAGAATTTGATAAAACCAGTAAGAGTATTCTTCCAACAAATGTTAGGATCGGTTGAAAAGTGAAATGATACAGCTTTTACTTCTCTTATAGTGTAGTTGGATTAAAGTAATTTGTAGTAGCATAAAGTCTCATTTGTAGGAATATTCTAACCCAACTTCCATCACTGTTAGGCAAGAGATGGTAATGATTATAGCCTCGGACTAACACCAACAGGCGTTCTCGTGTTTGAAGGCGAAACCAAGATTGGATTGTTCTTCTGGTAAGCTAGATAGCTTATAGTTATTTTCAAGTATAGGCAAGAATCTCTAACTATTGTAAGAACTGTATTGTCAAAGGCTTTCATGGCTGGAATCACTTGGTTGTTGTAGGTTTTTTCAGGCTATATGGCCATAGTTGTGTGAGGTCACAACCTCTGAGGATGCTTGCCATAGATGCAGGCGAAATGTCAGGAGAGTATGCCTCTAGAACATGGCCATATAGCCCAAAAAAACGTACAACAACCCATTGTAAGAATTTCTAAAAATGTATTAGTGGTCAAAAAATGTAGTGGTCCAAAAGGGCTCTTTGTCTTTTGTAGTGGTGAGGAATCTCTGTATGTAGCCAACATGACCACTTATCAGGAATGATGGGAATTCTAGTACAGCACTGTCTAGAAGATCATACATTTACTATGATTTGTCTGTGATAAATGGATGGGCTAATTCTTAACAGTGGCCATGGTACCTACTTGATTTGGATCTTTGAGAAATTAGTGGCTATATATATCAAAAATAATTATATTTGCCTGAGATTTTGTGCATGTATACTACATTATGATATAGGTATATTATATGGGGATGAATATACTAGGTGACTGTTTTGAGTAATTACTCATTTAAGGGCCCCCTGGTGGTGCAGCGGGTTAAACTGCTGAGCTGCTGAACTTGCTGACCGAAAGGTTGACAGTTCAAATCAAAGGAGCAGGGTGAGCTCCTGCTGTTATCCCTAGCTTCTGCCAACCTAGCAGTTCAAAAACATGCAAATGTGAGTAGATCAGTAGGTAGCTCATTTGTGAGAAGTAATGGTGCTCCATGCAGTCATCCTGGCCACATGACCCTGGAGACGTCTACGGACACGTAGGCTCTGTGGCTTAGAAATGGAGATGAGCACCACCCCAGAGTCTTACACAACTAGACTTAATGTCAGGGGAAAACTTTACCTTTTTTACTCATTTAGGCAAGTTTTTCCATTATAAAAGTGTGTTTTGGGAGGAGGGAGAGCAAGACTAGGTTAACTGTGGTACCTCAAATTCATAGTTGTAAACCGCGTTGAGTCGCCGGTCAGGCTGAGAAACGGCGGTATACAAGTATAAGAAATAAATAAATAAATAAATAAATAGTTCTTCTTGAATTATGAATTCAGGTTTTATTGCAGAAAAGTATAAGTATTTATTCCTGCTTTTGTCCTTTTTGCTCCCTTTTTACAGGCCAAAAATCACAAGGCTGGACTTTAAAAAGAATAAGTTAACACTAGTGGTGGTTGAAGATGATGAACAGGTAGGGGAAAAGTCTTAACTCTTTTGTTTTCTGTTGAAAAATATCTGTTGCAACAGTAAATTGCAGTCTGTCATATTGAGTTAGCTTATACATGCTGAATCATAGCAAAAACCAATTAAAGATGGGTGTGAGTATAGGTATCCATGTCCATCCCACATGAAAATGCTGCACACACAGTTATCTACATAGAAAGTTAATTTTGGCTAATATATTCTAGAAAATAGTCACTGCCAACCTTATCTCAAAATAACTGCAATGTTTTAGTAGTTCTCCTCCAGTTATAGAACAAGGTACACACTATGAGCAATTAATACTTTCAACCAAGAGGATATTAGCTATTAGATGCAGATTAAAATTTGAGTTAAATATTATAAGATTAATTATGAACATACAAGATTTCCAAAGATCATTATATTATCGAAATTACTTGATAGAACTGATGAAGTTTGATTTGTCAGATATGAGAATGGAATAATGTTAGGTGTTTTGAAAGAAATATTGAAGTCCCACACTCTGTAGAAAGAAAGAAAAACCCAGTGAGGTGATGGTATGTTGCGAGGTCATCCTAAAGAGATGGATACATTGTCTACTGTTAATGTTATATCTCTCAAATTCTGTCTAAGAGAATCAAATTCCTGAAAGAGTGTTGTCCTAAGAATTGTAAATTTTCCCTTCAGTGTTTTGTAACATACTCCTTGGTGTTGGCACAAAGCCATGGATAAACTTTTCACTTCCATTTTTCTCCTCTGCTACAATCTTTCTGAAGTCCTTGCTTGTATCTCTTTTATTCCACAATGCTGTTCATCTCACTTTCAGGGAAAGGAGCAGGAACATACTTTTGTCTTCAGGCTGGATCACCCAAAGGCCTGCAAACACTTGTGGAAGTGTGCAATTGAGCATCATGCCTTCTTCCGCCTCCGTGGACCCGTCCAAAAAGGTTCCAGTCGATCAGGCTTCATTCGGCTGGGGTCACGGTTCAGATACAGGTCAGCAGTCTCTTCAGCTCAGAGCCTCCTTCCCTGCGTTTCTGAGATAATGCATTGGACAGGAACCTGGCCTCTCATTCATGTCTTTAAAGGAAAGAGATTTGAAGGGATTGTAGGCATTGCACTTTTACATGGCTGACACAATTGTTTCTTTCTTTGTAAACCAGATAAGAACAAACTTCTAGATATCATAGTTATAGCAGAACGGGATAACAATGTAGATAGGTGCCCACTGACTGCAGGTGGAAAGTTTTCCATTTTTTATATCGTCTGCTGTAACCTTATCCAAAACATGTAGATATCTCCTCTTAGTTTGTCTTCTCTTTCAACCTACAGCAGTTACAATTGAGGATGTGCCTTCTTCTTACCTGATCTCAGACTCTTGTGAAGCATTGAATTTACCTCTCATTTTAGATTATAGATTTAGCTATCTTTTGGATTTTGGAACAAATTATGTAGATACAGGTGCACTTAGTTTTTGTTGTAAGATTTGGATATTTTTTGTGGGCTAGAATATGTACATCTCTGATTGGGAAGGTTCTTTTTTTTTACTACATAACCAACCCACACCATTTTGTGAACCCCTTGCTGCCTGTTGTAAATTAATGTAGATGTTTTATTTAGAATTTATGCTATTATTTAATTTTGTCTGGATACGTGTAGTTTAATTTATTGATGTTAGGTTTAATTTACTGATGTTAGGCTTTAATTTGATGTTAGGTTTTAATGTTATTTTCATATGTGGGGTTTTTCTGGGATTTTATGTCAGTTTTTGTTTGTTTTATGTAGGCATTGAATGTTTGCCGATGTATGTTGGAATCTGCCCTGAATCCCCTTGGAGAGATAGGATGGAATACAAATAAAGTGTTGTTGTTGTTGTTGTTGTTGTTGTTGTTGTTGTTATTTGCCATGTTTCAATTTCTTCTCATTCTAGCTTTCTTGACCCTGCCTGGTCTACATGTTATGGGGTCAAATAGTAAGCGCCTACTTAGATTTAATAAAAAGTCCCCCTTGAAATACTATTTAGACTGAGGAGCAAAGACCATTGTGTGTAGTCAGTTATCACAATGTAATCACCATAAAATACTTTCTCTTGTCCTGTTATTTTATCTTTTACTTTATCTAGTGGGAAAACAGAGTACCAGACAACAAAAACCAACAAAGCCAGAAGATCAGCGTCCTTTGAAAGAAGACCTAGCAAACGATACTCAAGAAGGACATTACAAATGAGAGGTGAGCTGATCATAGATAGTGCTACTGTATTTCATCTGTTGGGTCATGCTAACCCAGTGAAGCATTTTTATCTGAATACCTGATCCTCAAACCATATTAGAAACTTGTTTCAAAAACTAAATGATCTTTCAAAAATAGTTTTATTGTTTGGCATTATATAATAGGTGTGGTCTAACATTTGTGATAAACCTACTCCCGTTGAGTTTATGGAACACATGTCCTGATATTTAGAATCCTATCCAGTGCTACTAACTATAATACCATTAACAGGGTAATGATATGGATCTTTTCCTGTCTTGCTAACACCATTGTGACAAATTCATTTACCTAAACTGACCCCGAAATCCTAATCCCTAGGAATCCTGCCATTCACCATGCCCTTGTTCCTCCAATTGTTCTCTTGCTAGGTTGGGTTATTGGGTCCCAGGGTGACCCCTTAAATGTGGAATTGTGGGTGTAGTTTCTATGGGCTCTTTAGTTTTGATATGTGTGATTTGATTCCAATTTGGGCCAAAGGCAAATTTAAAATCACAAGAATAGATTTTGGAGCATGGCCATACAGCCAGGAAAACTCACAGGAACCCAGTGATCCTGGCCATGGAAGCCTTTGACAACACAAAAAATAGATTTATTATTCCAAAAAGCATACTCTGATATTTCCATTTTAGGTAAGAAACACTGTTTTACTACACCATTGTTTATAAAGAGACTTGACCAATTACAGATTTTGGCATCCATGGGGGAGGGAGGGGGTTCCTTGGACCAAACCTCAGTAAATATCAAGATCCCACCATACAATTATAGCATTAGCTCTTTCTTCATTTCTCAGCTTTTAAAAGTGCCTCTATACCATTTTGCATTTTCCTCCTAAAATGAATGTAGGCTTTTTGACACTGTGTAATATGTGTTTTTTTGTTTTGTTTTGTCCTTTATTGCAGCAAACCCTGCAAAGTCTGATGATACTAGGTAAGAAGGCATAATACATCTTTAAAAAGAAATATTACTTCTCTGAATATTTTGTTGTAAAGTCATCTATAAGTTTCATCAACATAAAGACTATCAGGAAAATATCCATCGCTTGGGACATTAATACTTTTCTATAAGTTTTCATGCTTACAGATCTTTTGAGAGCTGCCCAGTCAGGTGAATTTTTCATACAGCTGTTTCAGAAGACTAAAAATATACATAAGGTTCAAGATTGGGGCCGGGGGAGGGGGGGGAGTATGGCTTTTAAGATTACCTGATATTTTGAACCTAAATGTCATAAAACTGTCATTCTATAGTTAACGGGAGTAAACTTTAAACTTGTATCACAGCTGTGGTCAAAGTGCAGCCCTTATTGCAGGAAGGCACCTTTAAGTAGTTAGAAAAGACTGGAGGAAACAAAATTACTTAAATTGTCATATGTCTTGCAGACTATAAGACACCTTTTATTTTCTTTGGGTTTTTTTTTAACTTTTGTAACTGGACCCCTAACATGCTTCTTTTTTCTGTTTTGTTTTTTTTTTGATGGGAGGAACTCTCTTGTCAGTAAAAAGTGACTGGTATAATGTATTTGAATTACCTTATAAAGATTATTCTGTCGTGACAGTTGGTATGCACTTTCTAGCAGATTCAGGCCTGAGAAAATAATTTTCTAATTCATTTCAATCTAGTTTCTTTTTTGAAGAAGACTTCTGGAATGCATCTGCAGTCATTTTGAGTGGTCCTAATTGCAGATGTACAATGATTTCCATTATACAACATTATTATAAGCACCCCCCTTTCATAGTATATTTTTTCCAAAAAAAATTTGAACTGTTTCCACAGTTAGGAAAGAAGCAGGCAACCTGATTTGGGGCTGAGTGGGAAATCTTACTGCCTTTCTTTCCCTGGTCATTGTGGTGTTAGGGTATCATAACATGTTCACTCTTGAGTTTACCTTTGTATGCTAATTAACATTGCTAATTAAAATCTTCCCAGAAAATCACAGGTCATCCATGAATTGTGTGCTTTTTCTGTATTTGCTTTTTAATATCTACTTTTTTCAGTTGCAAAGTGATTCCTTTTTTTAAAGTGATCCATTTTTTAAAAAAACAACCAAAGGAAGTTAGTTCCTGGAGATCCAGATCCCTTCTAGAGATAGCTTGATGAAATTAAATGCATTTGAAAACTTTGTACAGGTCACAAGAATCAGAACTTAGCAAGAGACACACTTTAAGAATTTAATCTTATGGTTAACATCTCAGCTTTCGTTTTACAGCACTTCTACTGCTTCTGTGAGGTTTTTTTCCTGAATTGCTTCATAATATTTGCTTTGTAATTGCTATAAAAATCTTTAGTAATATTTTCACCAAGTCAGATTCTTCACTAAACCAATAACTATGTATGAGAGAAAGGTGATGTATTCTCAGCAGGTTTAATTTTGTTTAAGGTCCCCTTACTGTTCTGCTTGAGGCTGGTTAAGTTTTGAAACTTAACTGTTTCGTCTTTGGGAAATCAAACTGTTGTATTTTTTCTTTCAGCCTTCCAAATAATGTTTTCAGCCAAAATAACGGATCACAGCCGGTAAGTCTGCCTAATCTGCTTACTTAAACTGTGATCAAAACACAGTGGCCCTGGCCTCAGAATTAATATATGACAACACAGAAGCAAGTGGGGATCCTATTATTATTTTGGCTTCTACAGTTTTTGAGTTAAAAAGAGGGGGGGGAATCATAGAAGCCTGCCTAGTCTTTCTCCCTCCAGCTTTCTTGAGTGAGCAGATTCCTTTCTTAACCCTTTGGCTGATGCCTTCCTGTACTCCCAATTTAGATGCTGTTGGTATAGAAAACACGAGTTGCAAAGGGAGTACCAGATGCCTTTTCGTTCTGAGATTAACTGGACTGACTGATGGGAGTCAGTCATGTAAGAGAAGAAATTCTCTTGATTCTTTAACCAGGAGGAGATAGGGAAGGATTAGATTATTTATTTCACCCTTTTAATGCATCAATTTATGTCATCTAAAGCATTTTCTTCCTTTATATTTTGTCTTTTAAAGACCTGGAGTGCAGTGACAGTCTTGCCTTCTGTAATGCCAGTTCCCTCTGGCCCTGTTTTAGTTGAAATTGAGAATCTTCCCAGGAGTCCTGGAACTAGCCAACAAGAAAAGAAAAGGTATGTTATTCAGGTCTCACTTTGCTCTGTCTTGGAAAAAAATGATTATCTTTCTGCAAGACAATTTCTATTTCATTTCAGATACAATTGATCTTAGACGTATTCGTATTTGTTTCTCCTGAAGACATATTTTGTTTCTACAGATCAGTGTATGATTCTGATCTTAGTCTAGATAATTTTATTGAGAACTGGCATGAGCAAACTTGGTCCCTCCAGGTGTTTTTTATGCGGCTGAGGGTGAAAAGGAAGGGGCCTGAGGCTGTTAGGAATTGTGGGAGTTGAAGTCCAAAACACTGGAGAGCCCAAGTTTGCCGATGCCTGGTTTAGAATTTCAACATTACTTTGATATTATGGATTTTCATTTTGTAGTCTTACAAAAGCATGGATTGAATGGACTTTTCCATTCTTCAGCCAGGTTTGTCCTCACAGCACTAAGAACTGGATGAGGAAACCACATTTCAGGCTTTTTGTTGTTAAAATGGGGAAAATGTCTACTGCATGGATTTCTACAGTAGTCAGAAAATGGTTGCAGATAAGAGCTTGCTTACATTAATACGTTTATTGTGGTGATCCAAGCTCTTGCTGCCTATTAGGACAAGACAATATAACTTAATACCAGGGATACCATCTCTTCCCAAAGTCCTAACTTTTTACTTCAAAGGGAGTCCTTTAATGATCTTAGAAGAAGTCTGGTTCTCTGAGGTTTTGAAGAACAGCAGCAGCAGGCTGCAAAAGACTTCACACTCTTAATTCAAGTTGCATATTCTCAAGACCCATGCGTATCTGATACAAAGGTTAATTTTTACTTTTATACTACTAGTACTGATATTGTAAATATAGAAAGGGTGTGATACAGTTGTTAAATGAATATGTTGTATGTAAATATAGCTAATTATATGTGTTGACTTTAAAATGCTCTCGACCTTGGCTCTGTGTTGTAGAGTTCTTTCTTAATTGCAATCAAAAAGCTGCTTTCTTTTCTTTTTTGCCCTCAATTTATGTAGCTTCTGAAATTGGAGGTTTTTTTGCAAACATCTTGGTTGATCAGTCAGTTGATTCCTTCTCTCAGTGGTGGTGGCTTATAAGGTGGCGGTATTTATTTACTTCATTCTCTTTTGCCTGATTGGTATGATTGCTTGTTTTGTGTAAGCTCAGTATAACTGCTGTGCATATGCTTATTGGTAACATACTCACATATATCCTTTAGACTCCAGCTCCAAACAACTCTGATGGTGCTTTTACAACATTATCATAATTAGTGCTGATAACAGCTCTCAAGAAGATATATAGTGTAGTTAGAAATCTGTGTGGCTATGACTGTACTGTGAATTTCAAAATCCTGGCAACTTTAATTTGCTCCTTATTCCTGCTAAGACAATAGGGCCTTTACTCAGTGCACTTGCAAAAACGAATGTATATTGTCTTTTGTAAAGTTGGTTTTGTACGTTAACACTTCCCTACGTGAGTGTAATGTAGAGTTTTACAGTGCATGATGTCACTAGTAAACTTGTCTGTTTCATTTAGTGTAAACTATGTTAAGAAGCTACTGCTAATCCTGGCTTCTCAACATATGTTGAAATGTTAGAATATCAAACTCTGTGGTGTGTGTGTTGTTTTCAGATGATTGTCTTTCATATAGGAAAAGGGTGCCTTTATAACAGGCATGAGCAAACTTCGCCCCTTCAGGTGTTTTGGACTTCAGCTCCCCTAATTCCAAGCAGACTACTAGCTGTTAGGAATTGTGGGAGTTGAAGTCCAAAACACCCAGAGGGCTGAAGTTTGCCCATTCCTGATTTATAAGCTCCAAAGAATGTGTTAGATTATGGATGCTGTTGGTTTCATCACATATAGATATGCACTGACACACATACATCTGTCTGTGTTCATGTGTTCTAGTTATTCCAGTTGTGAGTTGCAGTGATCTCTTTGAGATTTTCCAAAGCAGCAGTTGTAACTACAAAAAAATGTGCATGCTAAATAAAGATTTTTTTAGAGCAGGGCTGCACAACCTGTGACTCTCAATGTGTTTTGAACTTCAGTTCCCAGAATTTGAACAAGCTGGCTAGGGCTTCTGGTAGTTAAGAGTCCCAAACAACTGGAGGGCCAAAGATTGTGCAGGCCAATTTTGGAGGCACAGAGGAGTTGTATGTTTAGTCTAAGTTTGGCTGTAGAACAGTGGTTCTCAACCTGTGGGTCCCCAGATGTTTTGGTCTTCAACTCCCAGAAGTCCTAACTGACCAGGATTTCTAAGAGTTGTAGGCCAAAACACCTGGGGACCCACAGGTTGAGAGCCACTGCTGTAGAGGAAGGCCAGAGCACAAGGTAATATGTATGTGATTTGACTCTGGATTACCTTGATGAAGTGGAATGGAGATTTCTTTACCCAGAGTGACAAAATTGATCTCTTAAAGAACATCAGACATGTTCCCCATTAGGGGTAAGTATGCAGTGTGTGCACTTTCACAGGTTGCCATTCTCAGAGTTCAGAAGCAAGAAAGAATTGTTTGGAGCTGTACAGTCAATGAAGTGTGCTGCATTCAGTGTGAAGTCTGGAATGAGATTTAGCTGGATGCATTGATGGAATGTATGTCTGCCTGGAGGAGAGTGGCTTGAATGCCTTGGTGCTGCCTGTGGGCCATCCCTGAATCAACCTCTTATCCCCTTTAATTGGTCTGTTCCCATGGCTTGGCTTTCGTCTTGCTCCTGTCATTCTTTTATCAGCCTTCTTTAGAAAACTTCATTTGCCTGCAAAGTTGTAATACCTGTGATGTTTTTTAATTGGGTTAAAAGATCAGTACATTTGGTTCTTTGCATGTATAGAAACCTGCATCTCTTGTTTTTTGTGGTTCTTTAGAATTGATGTATCTCTCATTTTTGAGCTGCAGATGCTATATGTGTCATTCAAAATGTTGGAACGTCAATGCTATCAGTGCCACGCAAAACACAGTATAATGCAGCACCATTCAAATATTTTTCTGTGAGTTCTTCATTTAGGTTAAGCATCCATAGTGGGGGGAAACAGGGAAAAGAAGAAGAAATGAAATTGTAAGGTTAGCTTTTCCTTTAGTGTAACTAGATCGTAAAGGTTAATTCTTTTTTTTCAAGGCACACTATTAAGCCTCTGATTTCTGAAGTTTGCTGCTGATCATAAGTGTATTCTACTGCTCTCAGTATGATGGAGCAAACCAGTTGCAAGCCTCATGAGGAAAAGAAAACAATAGATTTCAAAAAAGTAGCTACATAGATAGTAAATGGAGTGTTTTCTACAAGTGATTAAAATATGAGGAGATAAACAATAGTACTCAATACATTGTAATACTCTCTCTTTTTTCATTCTTGGGGGGAGGTTGTAATCATGTTACTATATGATTATTAAAAGAGCTCAGTCCCTATTCAAGCCACTCCTCTTAAGGAGTTCTTGTTCACTGAGTTTGCATTGGTATCTGTCTTGAAAAGACCACCTGCAAATCATAGATGGGTTTCCAAGGAAGGCTACTCTAAGCTGTTTTTTAAACAGTAGGGAAATATTGCCCCACTGTTTTTTCTTAATCTCATTTCTATAGTCAAACTTTTTCATAGTTTGGACTGTTTCTCCTATATAGAATTCAGTAGCATAGGACAAGTGAACTTAGGCTGCTATGCTTCCCATCCTCTTGGGATGACTTTATTAGGTCCTATATTGCCACAGAAGATACAAGAATATGTTAACCATCTGGGACTACTGTAACATTGATGTCTTTTGACCTATCAACAAAGTGAAATGCTGTGCAGTCTGCAAAGCCTTACACTACGTGAAATCTGTTAGTTTTTGAGATATCACAAGGTGTTTGTAACTCTCACAGATCTATTATTAAGATTATCCTGGACTCAAGGAGAAGATTGTTTTTCTGTGTATTCCAATCAGATGCTCAGTGGTGCTGGGCTTAATATTATTTTACAAAGTCATTTGCCACCATCTGTTGTAAACAGCTTTTTCACAAAATGCATGTTTTAGTTGAATTTTGGAATTTAAATGGCAAAGAACCAAATCCCTGATGTAAGAAAAAGGAAGTTGAACTTAATTAAGGCTATTTCTAAAGAAGGCTACTCTAAGCTCCTAACACATTTGGTTTGGTATTCTGCATGCTTTTTTTTAGAACTTAGTAATGTTAATATGGATATTGTAGTTAAGATGCTGCCTACTTGTAAACAGTGATGCAGTGTTGAACTTCTGAGCTTAACATTAGTATCGCATGAATACTGAGACATACTATTTTTAAAATGATAGACAACATCCCCCAAAACCTCTTTTCACAATTCTGAGATTATTTAATTGGGACAGTTAGGGCAGTTGCCTCTCCAGTTTTATTGCATTGCAACTAGACATATAAGCTGAAGTACAAGTTTCTAGTTAACAGTGTAAGTTTGGGCACTTCTATATTGTTTTCAGTTGTCTGGATTCACCTAATCATTCAGCACACAGACTTTCAACACCTCCTGTCTCCCCACCCCTCCCAAAATGGCAAATGTTTATGGTTCCTAGTCTTCCAAATTTTGATGACAGGTGCCCTCAACCCAGATAAGAAGTCTAGTGTCCGGGTTGTTGAATCCCAAAACACCTGGGCTGAGCATCCAATTGTTTAGTCAGATTTGAGTCTGTTTATTGTATCACTATAACATTTATCAGTATATTGAGTAGGCAGCATCCATATCATGTTTGCATGTAGTATTTTCATCTTTCACTTGAATGTCTCCGTTGTCCTTGTGAGGAGCTACTCCATCTTCCTTTTTTTACCATAGCTATAAAGCTGTGTTTCTGATAGCTCGATGTTGTGTTGTTCATGCTTGTCTTCCTGCAACATGTAACAGGGTCATTTAAATCCTTAAATGCTGTTTTATTTATGTGGTTCTTTGCTGAAAGGAGGTGCTATGTCTCCAGCCTGTGAGTCTATTGATTGTTTTGCTCATATACAAGAGATATAGCCATTAGCACCCTGTGAAAGCTGTGAGGGTGGATCAAGGCAAATAGCAGGCTAGGTTATAAATCAATTCATTATTTCATTTGTTGACAATAAAACAGCATCTGGAAAAGCAGAGTATTCAAATTAAATATTGCATAGCTCATTCTGAAACCAGCAAAACCTGATAGCAGCAGTGAAGGATTTAACTTGACACTCCTGTTTCATGAAATGTGCTTGCTCTTCAACAAATACGCTCTTGCTAGTTTTCTCCTTTCCTCAGCTTCCTCGTCCTCTTTCCATGCTCTGCCCTCATTCATAACTAGATACTAACTGTGCCCCATCCCATTCCCAAACCAATCCAGGCCCCATGATGCTGCTGGCTGCTGTCAACCTGGTGGAAGTGCATGGAACGCGTGGTCCCCGCCCTCGGTCCACTCAGTGGATAGACACTACAGTGACTTTGTCCGTGAGCACAATGTGAAGAATGCAGGAATGTACAAACATGCTTTTGGTTCTGGTGTCCAAGCCACCGTGACTGACTTGTAGGACTTTTGGTTTTGGTTGTCATTGTTCTCCTTGACATTCTGGAATTATGAAGAACATGGGAAAGGCGTGGTTGTTAAGAAAGTTCTTGAAGCACCTGAGTATGAATGAACATCTTGCAGATATTTCTCTTTAAACAGAAATCTCTTACCACTATTGAAGAGAACATATCTTTAAAGTTATTCTTCAGTTTTTGTGGGGCAGGGGAGATTGAAAGAAGTCCTTGGTTTTAACGAGCTGTATATTCAGTCTGTGGATGCTATGATTGTTCTCCAAGTAAGTGCTAAGTAAGACTGAATCCCAACAGTGGTTTAGTTGTTATCATTTGAAGAAAAAAAAAAAACCCCAGAAATAACTACTATTGGTTGGAATGTATTCCTTTTAGTTGTTCTGCACTTTTAACGATGTGCCTTATTGGAAATGAAACAGAATTATACTTTTTAAAATAAAAATAAAATACATTCCAGTGATACATGGAGCAACAATACTAAGGCATCGGAAGTAATCTTTTTGAGCTTTGTGCATGAATTGGTCTCACTCGTATACTGTTGAATTTGCCTGTGTTTATGTTTCTATTTCAGGCTGTATGGTCTATCAACATGTGACCACTGACCACTTATTTTTTTCAGACATACCAATTTAGGATTGCATGTATTGCAAAATTTCTGTGCCCTTTCAAATCTTGAAAAAAAGAATGAGAGGTGGGGGAATATTGCACAGTTATTCTCTGAAGGCTAGAGTCATCTGAATAACTGCTGCAGTTTATATTTTCAAAAATGGTGAATCAGCTGTTGTGATCTTTTATCTCAATCTCTTGGTAACTCAGCAGTGTGGAATCTTTCATCCTCCAGATGTTGATTTTCCAATCCCTTTACGGTCAGCTACTGTGGTCAACAGCCAAGGAATGTAGGAGTTGTAATCCCAATCAAATCTTTCTTTCCTTTTGTGTAACTCAAACCTTGCATACCTCACAGAATAGCCCAATCCTAATCAACTTCTACATTCCACATTATGGCTACAGGTACAACACACCAGGGAATCTTCTCTCTGCCTCCCATGCCATATCCATCCACTCTGATGAAGAGTTTTGGAAAACGGAAAGGCTAAGACAATATGAATTGTGGATTTTGGAAAAAAAATTCTTATAGAACAGTAGAACCACATCAACCTTTTTTCTGAACAGCAGACTGACTCCTGAAATGTGTGGTGCTACTTGCTCATTTCTAGTGAAATTGGGACTTTGTGTTGTGCTCCTTTTTCATCTTTTGATCCACTGAATATTATATCTTTTTTATTATTCTACACCAACTACACTCTCACGCAGATACTAGAGCAGTGGTTCTCAACCCCAGGTGTTTTGGCCTACAACTCCCAGAAATCCCAGCCAGTTTACCAGCTGTTAGGCTTTCTGGGAGTAGAAGGCTAAAACATCTGGGGTCTCACAGCTTGAGAACCACTGTACTAGAGGAAATCAACAGTGCCATGTATTTTTGTTTATCACTCCTCACAACTTTCAAGTCCATTACTAATTTGCAAAAAAAGTAAAAAGCATTGGATGAGAGTACTGTTTTTCCTGAATACAGCAAGGGTAATTGTTTCAGTTACATGTTTAGCAAAGATTATTTGTACAGAGAGAGGAGATAGTACTTGTGCTGTTATGTTCCATATCAGCTTGGTAGGAGCATTTTCAGTGTTTCTGAAAAAATGAGACCTTTCTCCAGTCAAACAAGCAGAAACTTTTATTTCCAATGAGCTGTTCTTTGACATGAAAACATTTTCCCTTACCTGGAAAAAAGGATTTGGGCATGCAGAAGATAGCAAGCTAGCAAAGGTATTCTTGCAGCTCATATCAAGTCAATGGAGTGAAGGTTCCCTATACCTGGTCTGCAGCATGTAATCTGGGTTTCATTTCGTTGTTGAATTGCTGATTCTCAATAAACCAGAATTTGCCATGCATGACTCCCTCAGAACATGCATGCAATCATTTATACAATTAAGGGGTGTGTTTTTTTAAAAAAAATGTTGTACATACTCTTCCTCCCAAGTCCTACAACTACCTGCATCCATTCCTTTCACATATCTGTATGTGTAGAGCTTGATAGAGGTAGGGGCAATGATCAAACAGTGAGATTGATTCACACTAAACAAATAGAGTGCTCTATTACCAACCCATGGGATCCTGGGATTTTGTAGTTTGATCAAAGGCACTAGATGAGAATCCTAAAGTCCCAAAACTTCTAACCCCAGGATTTCATTGGATGCTGCCATGGATGTTAGAAAGCAATCATAATTTTGTGATGAGTATGAGACCCTGATCATGACATTCATATTTTCTTGTCGAATCAGCCGGACATGGAGAAAATGATGTGAAGACTTCCCAGTGTGCTTCCTCCATCTTAGATAGCAGAATAACGAAATAGTTCCCTATCCTCAAGGTTATAAACTAATTAAGACGTGGCACAAGGGGACATGGGAATGGCAGTATGGGAGGGGATTAAGTCCAGCAGATCCTGCCTCTTCTTCTCCCTTTGAGGCTGCAGCAGTTGGGATGAAGGAAGGGCGTTTCATCTCCTGGGCCTAGGCATGATGGAGCTGTGTCTACCTCTTCTCTCCCTTGTGGCCACCATAAGGATCTTCTCTTCTCCATTTTTTGTAAGTTACCCAAGTAAACAGTGATCAGAGCACCTTATTTCATTGCACAAAAAGAGAATAGATACGGCCTTTTTCAATTTGAAGGGGAGGTAAAGTATATGTTTTAGATTCTGCAGTGCTAGACCCTTCCAGTATGACTTGAGTAAAGCTGCTGTAAGATGAAGTCAAAAATCAAAACGGAAGCCACATGGTCTTTTGTGTAATGCTGACCGAAGCGCAGTCCACACCTGAATGGCTAGGTGGGGACTCTGTACTTCCTTCCAGTCTTGCTTTGGATTTATGTGTGTGAACCCTTCTTTCCTTTCCTCTCCCTGCATAGTATGCCACCAATTGTTGACTTACTGGATAAGAAGGAATTACTGGAAACATGCATTGACAAGACTGCTGGTTTATCTCCTGTGGGAGGATCAGCTGAAGCTCTGGAAGAAACAGATATTTCTTTCTCCCCGCTTGGCACCAGGGAGCACCCGTCCGAGAAGGCAGATCCTGTTGGTAAGGGAACATGCTGTAGAAAGGTCATTATAGTTAACACTGTTGACCATTATGGCTTCTGTAATGCTCTGCAGAATGCACAGGCTGTCTTAAAACCTGCAATGAAACATTCCTGACATGAGCACTGATGTTCTGGTTCAGAAACCTATTTATCCATTGAAATACAGGCATTCTGTTGCAAGGCTTATTTATTGGCAGTGAGACAAAGCCAGTTCCTAAGACACAGTGTAAGAGTTGAAATCTCTCCCTTTCAGCTCTTTTTAATTTTCATATTTGTTCATGCTAAGGATGGTCAATTATAATTCAGTGTGTCATAAGCAGAGCTGAGACTGAATCCTAACCAACAACAGTTTAAGGAGGGGGAAATTTGGCTGAGTTTAGTGAATATTTTCTGTAATGCAACATGAGATGATGTGTTTAAGACTTCTTTATCAAATGACTGCATCGTACAGATTGATCAAAGAAGCAGATAATTTTCCAGACCAATACTAATAAACAGTAGCAGACTCCTACTTCAGTAGAAAATTATGCTAGAACAGGTATATAGCAATAAGTAACTGACTGCATGGAGAATACAAGGGAAAATATTATTGACAATGTGGTTTTTTTGTGTGTCAGAAGTGACTTGAGAAACTGCAAGTTGCTTCTGGTGTGAGAGAATTGGCCATCTGCAAGGACGTTGCCAAGGGACGCCCAGATGTGTTTACCATCCTGTGGGAGGCTTCTCTCATGTCCCCACATGATAAGCTGGAGCTAATAGATGGGGAGAAGCTCACCCCACTCCCCGGATTTGAACTGCCGACCTTCAGGTCAGCCATTCAACCAGCACAAGGATTTAACCCATTGTGCTATCGCAACTCCTATTTACAAGGCGTGCAAGGTCTATGTTGTATGTCACTGTTCACTATGTGTGTAAAAGACATTGAATGTTTGCCTCATATGTGTATTGTAATCCGCTCTGAGTCCCTTCAGGGAGATAAAGCAGAATATAAATAAAGTGTATTATTCTTCGTATCGTCCGTGAAATGCGCACTTATGGGTTTTCCCTCGCGCATGCGCAGAAATCCGGAACACTCTAGAGTTTAATGAATTAAAAAATGAATATTTTGAGACATAGGCTCCRCCCATCTCCCCRCYCCCCCAATATATGTTGTCGAGAGGTGCTGCCGATCTGTAGTTCCATAGCGCTAAACAGCGGCCAGGAAAAAGATGGCATGACAGAGGGGAGGACGGGCGGGTTGTGCGAATTTCACGGACTGATACTCGAAGAAATACGGTTACAGGTAAGCAACCTTTATTTATTATTGTTGTTACTATTATTATTATTATTATTATTATTATTATTATTTTACTAAGAGATAGCGATGACAAAAAATGTGTCAAAAGATTGTCAGAGGTGTATTCCAGTCTTAGATTGACCTGTTTCTTTTCTCTTTTTTTAGTAATAGTTGAGGATCCATCATTGAAATTGAAGCAGCCTGAGGCAGAGCTCAGTCCGGTGCTAGTTTCCCAGTCAAACATCAACATCAATGTCAACAAACAGGTACTATTCCCATGCTCATTCTTTTCAGTTATATTGGGAAAGAGTTTTAGCTTTGAGAGCATGTACAACTTTCCAGCTTTTCTGTCATACAAATACAATGTGTCAGCCAAGCACTGTAAAGCTGTGTGGGCCTCTCTTTGAAGAATGTTTGGAAAGTTGAGTTGATCCAAAGAGCTGTAGCCAGATCGTTAATGGGGGCTAGTTACATGAGAGCTATCACTCCTTTGGTTATAATAGCTACACTGGCAGCCATTGCATTTCAGCTAGATGTGATTTTTACCTTCACTCTCACTTTTGGGGAAATTTCATTTATATCATGCTTTTTCTGCAAAAGTGAGAGTGAAGATAAAAACTTCACTCTCCCATTGAGGGAGAAAAGCATTATATAAATGAAGTCTTTGGTAGGTAGACAGATAGATAAAAGCTGACTTGCTGCATTTGTTAATCTGATACCGGTTTTGAAGTAAGTTCCTCTACATTATTAGGTTAACATACCAGTTTGACTTATTAGCTCATTTGTTTGTTTGCTCGACTGTGGCTGAGACCTAGTGCAGGTGAGGAATTTCAGTATACATGAAATGTCCTTAAGTCTGCAAGAAATATTCAGTGTTCATACTAATTTAACCACATACCATCTACAACCACCACCTAGATTTCACACAGACTGTAAGAAAGAAGTGTGTAGTTGCACTTGGCTTCCATATGAAGAAAGGTCTTTCATGCTTTGCTGATGGAGAAGAAGAAGGAGTTGTTGGTATATCTCTTCAAGTCAGCTCTGACCCTATCAGGATTTATGCAGAGGAGGTTTGTTATTGCCTACAGTATCTGATATTCACTGGTGATCTCTCTTCTAAGTACTAGTACTAATGAGACTTGATCCTTCTTAGCTTCCTGGTCACTCCTCCCATTATTCTTGTAATCATCTTCACTTAAGCATCTATCTCCCTGTTACATGCCTTGGTCCCTGTGGAGACCTGGCAGAGGGAGAAAAAGCTGTGGATGGACATCATTCCAAACCAACTCAAATGTGGCTTTGTATAAGGAGACTTAGTTGAAGTACTCAAAAACCCAGTGTTCTCAAACATACACCTTTGCTAGTGTATGTTGAACCATCAGCAAGCAAAGGTGTCATATGCAAAAATATTACAATTATTGTATAAAATTTCCTTTAGGCCAGGAACCCCCCATGGCACATTGGGTTAAACCCTTGTGCTGGCAGGACTGCTGACCAAAATGTCGGTGGTTTGGATCTGGAGAGCGGAGTGAGCTCCCATCTGTTAGCTCCAGGTTCTCATGCGGGGACATGAGAAAGCCTCTCACAGGATGGTAAAACATCCGGGTGTCCCCTGGGCAACGTCCTTGCAGATGACCAATTCTCTCACACCAGAAGTGAATTGCAGTTTCTCAAGTTGCTCCTGACACAACCCCCCCCCCCCCTTTTAAACCATCTTCACTTAAGAATCTATCTCCTTGTTGCTTGCCTTGGTTCCTGTGAAGACCTTGCAGAGGGAGAAAAAGCTGTGGACATAATTCCAAACCAAGTCAAATGTGGTTTTGTATTGCTTTCCACTTATATACGTACAACTTAAGTATCTATTATTATCACTACTATTATGCTTCTTTATACCCTGCTTTTCCTCTCCACAAGGAGACTTATCTGAAGTACTAAAAATGCAATCATCTCAACATGGATGACTAAGATAGTAACACCTTTGCTAATGTATGTTGAACCACCAGAAGCCAAAGTTATCATATGCAAAAATATTAATAGTATTGTATGTATAAAATTACCTTTACGCTATATGTATATGGTGTATATGAAACATAAATGTTTAGACTTTTGTCCCATCTCCATGATAACTTATTTAGTACATATATGGAAATATAAACTTTTCAAAATCCAAATCATTTCTTGCCCCAGGTATTTTGGATAAGCGATATTCGAACAGTATTACATTTGAAGTGTTGGAAACAATTGTAGCAACCAATTTTGAGTTGAAAAATATATAGGTAAAATATACTAAACCTATAGATAATGTGCCTTTATCCTCCCTCCCTCCCCCCCCCCCCAATAATTGTACTACTTTAGCTTAGCATGTTTTTACCTAGTGAGCAATAATTACTTAGTCTATAGTAGTTATTGTTCACTAGGTAAAGACGAACTAAGTCTGTAGTTGTTACTGCTCAAGAGGTAAAAACATTCCAGTCTTTGTTGTTGCTTCTGTTTTCTGAGTGACTCTGAAGCACCTTTTCATCAGGAAAAGGTTCCTGTATGCTCAATATCCTCTTTAACGGCTTTTGTCTGTGCGCACCTCATGGCTGGTGCATTATAGAGATTACACAGAGCATAAGAAGATTAGCCTTGAGTTCTGTTCTGCTGGCTGCTCTTCCTCTTAATAAACAGAACCAAACAGACACCGTCTTGTTCACTGTCTCCGCCCAATTGACTGTTTTTCTGGTTTAGAAGCAGAAGAAAACAAGGTTTGGGTGATTAAGAAAATGATAGTCTTGGAGATAATGACTAAACTAAGGCAAACTAAGTCTAGGCAGACCCCTGTAAGCTTAGTTTAACAATTACATGTTACACAGGGAGAATATCTTCAGCAATTTTAAGCTTTTACTAAGAGAAATTTTCCTTGTGATTAAAAAATTTTCAGGGTGTTCGGTGCATAATCATCATATGGATTAATAATTGCTGTATTGTGCTGCAGAAGGATAGCTTGGCTTGCAATATAAGGCATGCTGACCCCTGTTGGAGTTTAAATTATTTTAAGGTGGTCAGGTTGTGTGTTACATTTTCTTTAGTGGATACAACTTTTTGAAGATGGCTTGGCTTTATGAAATTTTAATTCTGCCTAAGCTTTTGGAGCAAATCATCTCCCCAAAGAATTTTGCATGGATTCCTGCCCTTACAAAATCTTGCACAGCCCAAAATGGTGTTATATCGTTTTAGGAAGAATTATTGGAGTTGGATCAATTTAATTTTAGTTTGATACTCCAAAAATGCTTTCTCCAAAAAATAGTATGTGTTTTATTTCAGTATGTACTCTACCTTTTTCAGTAGACTAAGAGTGACTTATAGGATTTTGAAGCATATTGTTATCTTCCCACCACACTATAAGCCTCAAAAGGACTATTTGGGGAAATTAAAAGACTAAGTACCATTTGTAAAAAAAATTGGAAAAATGAACTGTTGTTTGGCACAGAAAGCAAAGAAGGGCTGCAATTTAATCTGATTTTATAAATCACTTATTTCATTCTTTGCTGTATGTGAGCAAAGGGGTGGAGAGAATGGAATGGGGTAAGCTTAAAATGCCAGTCTCCTATTTTGTTATTTTTTTGCAGTTAGGGTAGTGGATTGTGGTTTGGGAGATCCATGTTTGACTTTCTGCTTAACTAAGGTACATAAATGGGGTGTTTTGAGTCAGTCAAGAGGAGGTCAGCAGGAGAGATTAGTAGAAAAAATATGCAATGCCTTGGGCTCATTATAGTATTCTTTTGTTAACTATTGGTCCTTTAGGAGTCCCCAATGATGCACTTGGTTAAACCGCTGAGCTGCTGAATTTGCTGACCGAAAGGTCGGTGGTTCGAATCCGGAGAGCGGGGGCAGCTCCTGCTGTTAGCCCAAGTTTCTGCCAGTTTAGCAGTTCAAAAACATTCAAATGTGAGATCAATAGGTACAGTTTCTGCTCCATGTAGTCATGCTGGCCACATGACCTTGGAGGCGTCTATGGACAACACCGGCTCTTTGGTTTAGAAATGGAGATGGGCACCGCCCCTGAGAGTCGGACACAATTACACTTAATGTCAAGGGGAAACCTTTACTTCTATTGGTCTTTTAATTATTCATTTTATTATTTCTAACATAACATTGCAACATTAATACAATATAGGATTAAATTTCAACAACTTGGAGAAAATGTAGAAGAGTTTGGCAATAGCATGTTTTGAACAAAAAAGCAGCAACCTCCTTGTTCACTTATGAAAGTTTTATCCTTCTGCATTGATTTACATGTCTTTTCCCAAAAATATTATCAAGGGAGATTGAAAATGTTTTAAAACTCCAAAGTGTATACCCTCATAGTTTGCTTTGCCAGCATTTCCTTTCATGAGAGAATTGCACTGAAATCTTTGGGTACGATGTATTCTTCCTGTTATCTGTCGATTGAATGTTTGAAACTGTTGTATGAATGGCTTTATTCTTCCAAGATAGTTGTTGTTGTTTCTGGCAGCTTGCTGCCTGAGTGTGCTGGACTGGAAGCATCTGAGGTTGGCACTGCCAAGCCCTTGACAAACAGGCTGGCACTGAAGGGAGCAATTAATTTTTAAATACACAGGCCTTCCAGAGTCTTCTGGAATGCAGGAGACAATACAAACTAAATCTCATTATTGAGTGGGCTTTAAATTTTCATTTTGTAAGACAGTTGCGTGTTCTAAATAATGTTTTAAACAAAGCAGTAGATGCAAAAGTAGCTTACATGTGTGATTAAACTCTACAGACACACACACTGTAGTCATGCTGGCCACATGACCTTGGAGGCACAACAACAGCAACAACAGAAACCTCTTAAAACTATAGTTCCTTGGGACCAAGACAATTCGAGGTCTTTGGCCTTGGGAAGCATTTGTGCAAGGGCATTCAACAGGATTTTGCAAGGGCATTCAACAGGAAAGGTTTTCTTCTGTTGAAATCCCAACTCCTGGGTGGTTTCATATAACAAAAGACAGATGAAATAATAATCTGGATTTGTTGCAGCAAACTTTTTGTCTGCAAAACATTATAATTGTGTTAATGGTGAGAGACCAGAGAAGAGAAAGGGTATTAACACACACACACACACACACACACACACACACCTCAGATCTCAGCAGAGTAGAGAAAAAGAGATGCTAAGGCGAATTGAGAAGTTATTACCTAACAGGAAAAAATGTTAATGGACAGGTAAGACCGAGACATTTACTAGAAGTATTTACAAAGTAAGAGCACCCCCTCCCCATTAGGTATTTCCCAGATTACTATGATCCATGCTGCATCTGCATCCACTTCTAGGTAAAGGTTTCCTTTGGCATTAAGTCTAGTTGTGTCTGACTCTGGGAGTGGGCTCATCTCCATTTCTAGGCCAAAGGACCAGCGTTGTCCATAGACACCTCCAAGGTCATGTGGCCAGCATGACTGCACAATGTATTATGCTTGGTCAAATCTGTCTTAAATGCCCAAACAACAACATTGTTAGCTCTGCCTATGAAATATCATGTGGTCGATAATGTGAATTTATTGGGATGAATTACCTCTCTCTTATCTCAATACTACTTGACTCTCCAGTGTCTGCTCGGAAAGCACAAGGGAAATAAATGAACCATGCTACTTAAATCAGCTCCAAAGCCTGGAACGGCATAATTTTATTGCAAGCTAAACTATAAACTATATACTATTTACAGGAGTAAAGAAAACACATCCGATCACCTAGCCATACATTGTTGGAAGCACATGCCTATCAGATCTTTGGAACTCTCCAAAGTTACGTTCTGGATATCCATCACAACTCTATGCATTTAACTCTTGCATTACATTGCTGCATCACACAGTTTAAACTATAAACAATGTTTTACTACATTTAAACACCATATTCTGACAGATAATTTCTTGGGAGTGTGGTTCTTCTATTGAATTCATTTTCTTTGAGTTCTTTCCCTTTTTTTCCTTTTGGGAAATTATGGCAGAACTACCTGGAATAGCAGAATAACTTGTGCTGCCCCTTTCTGGGACTAGAACAAACAGCAGGGAATTATCAGGGAAGGAGAAACCACAGTAAAACAACAGTTTTCTGTCAGCCAAGATAAGTATTAGGTTTACTGTGAGATGCATTTGCACACTGCTGGATTAGCTGTACTACAGGTTGGCAAACATCCAGAATGAAGTCCCTCATAAGAATCTTCGAAAGAGCTGCCCTAGAGGCCAATCCAGACAAGCTAGTCCTTCCTTAAATGTGCAGAAGTGGGAGGATTGTTTTTTAAAAGTTAAGAGTAGGCAGGGGAAGGGAGTGAAGCATACCCCACATACAGTTTCCCCACTTTCTACTGCCCATTCTTGTTTTGAAACTAGAAATGAGCTGGGTGGAGGCAAAATCTTAAAACAGCAGATTCAGCAAGGAGTACACTTTGTTCCAGCTCTTTAGTAATAATTAAAACCTCCTGTGTCTTCATAATAGGTACTCACTAGTTCAGCTGTGAATGTGCCTGGTTTGGTCTGATATTTTAATCAGAGCTGTTTAAACTTCCAAGTGTTTACAACTTGAGTCTAGGTAGTCTGTTTCAAGGAACATTTATTTATTTATGAGCCTACTAAAGCTCTAAGGTTGTATAGAGAAGTCCTTCCTTCTGTCCCACCATCGTTTCCACCTTATTTGGTGGAAACAAGGACCTTTTTGATCACTAATGCCAGACTTTGAAACTGTCTGTCATAACACACCAAGCCGGTCCCATTCTTGACCCTTTTAAAACATTTAGATGCTATCAGGAATTTAGAAACAGAGTGGGATGGACTTTTAAGGATATGCCGTTTTATGGTTTGCATGTAGTTTTTAAATACATTATAATGTTTTCACATACTAATCTTTGAATAATTTATACTTGTGCTTTGACTGAAGTTTTTGTTTTTTAATTTTATAATTAACTAGCGGTCCCCTGCTAGTTAATTATATTTTCTGTTGGTCATGGGAATCTTGTATGTCCCAGTTGGTTTAATTCTATCATGCTATTTGATTGTAAGTGAACTATAAATCCCAGCAACTACAACTCCCTATCTATCTATCTATCTATCTATCTATCTATCTATCTATCTATCTATCTATATCTATGGCTAGATGGCTCGTTGTCAGGAAGACTTTGATTACGTTTTCTTGCCCTGATGAAGGGAGTTGAATTGGATGGCCTTAAGTATTTTCTGTTGGTCATGGGAGTTCTGTGTGGGAAGTTTGCCCCAATACTGTTGTTCGTGGGGTTCAGAATGCTCTTTGATTGTAGGTGAACTGTGAATCCCAGAAACTCCAACTCCCAAATGTCAAGGTCTATTTTCCCCAAACTCCATCTGTGTTCATATTTGGGCATATTGAGTGCTTGTGCCAAGTTTGATCCAGATCCATAATTGTTTAAGTCCACAGTGCTCTCTGGATGTAGGTGAACTACAACTCCCAAACGCAGGTCAATGCCCACCAAACCTTTCCAGTATTTTCTGTTGGTCATGGGAGTTCTGTATGCCAAGTTTGGTTCAATTCCATCGTTGATGGAGTTCAGAATGCTCTTTGATTGTAGGTGAACTATAAATCCCAGCAACTAAAATTGCCAAATGACAAAATCATAATTTTTTGAGTGATGGTCACTCCTTGTGTTGTGAGACGTTTTTGTTGCCAAATTTGGTGTGATTTTGTTCATTGGTACTTTTGTTTTTAAGGTACTCATTATGCACAGAGCATTTTTATATATATAGATGATGATATTACTTAAATCTTCCAACAATGTTTTCAGTTGTCACAACCAAAACCATTACTTAGGACCCTTCTACTTAGCCCTATATCCCAGAATATCAGGGCAGAAAATCCCACAATATCTCATTTGAACTGGGTTATCTGAGTCCACACTCAGATAATGTGGGGTTTTCTACCTTGAAATTCTGGGATATAGGGCTGTGTAGAAAGGCCCTGGTTTATCTGAGTCCACGGTGTCATATATTCCAGTTCAAAACAGATAATGTGGGGTTTTATTCAGCTATGTGGAAGAGGCCTTAGTCAGAACTTGATATTACAATTTCTGATTCCATTCGTACCGTAAATCTTGCAAGTCATATTTATATACATTGCTGGTTTGGATATTGGTTGGCCTCAGTGTCTCCAATATTAAATGAATTTTGGATGTAGTTAAAACTTCAGGGCCAAATCTGGATTGTAATAAATGTTTAAGCTGTAGATGTTGCCATTTAGCTGATAGCAGTAGTTCAAATAGGAAAATGCAAAAACACATATTCAACATCATTACTGAAGTTTTGGGTTGTTTTTCATCCATAATTTTTTAAAATGTTCTAAGCCTCCTTGAATCCCTTTATTAGAAGAGATGTGGGATATAAATGAATAAAATCATAATTGCATCACCACCACTCATCTGTGACTGCACATACTGTTCTCCAATATCTTATTAGGTGTTGCAGATTGATTTGAAAATGGCATTAATTACATCTTTGGGTTGTAATTCCCTTTCATGTGTCCTCTCTGGCATGCTCATGGACTAACGGATGCATTCAGGTTCTCATTAATGGGACGTTGTGTCTTGTTAGGAGGAAGTGGTGAAGCTGACAGAGAAATGCCTCAACAATGCCATTGAGAGCCCAGCGAATGCCTCAGTGCGTCTGCCTCCAGACATCAAGAGCAACATCCTGAAAGCCCAGGCTGAGGCAGGGCACAAGGTAAGGTTCAGGGGGCCTCGCCTTTGTGAACAGTAAACACACGATTTCAAAATGCATTTTCGGCAGCATATTCTTTGGCTGCCTTAAATTTTGCTACCATTTCTTGTTCTTGATCTACAAGGGGAGTTGTGGCTCTTGTTTCTGGAAAGCTGTGATAGCCCTGAGGGGGGAATTGTGGCAGCTCTTTGGAAGAGCAGAGCAAGATGGCACAACCAATATGCACAATCCACGTTCTTGATTTCTTTGGCTCTTTAAAACAATACCTAACAAAGTCAAACCTACTTGACTTTTAAATCTTGAATGACTAGGAACAACTACTATGAACTGTTCTGGTGTTGCTGTCATATTTAAAAACAACCAAGAGTTTTGGAGTGTCTATTTTTCGAGGCTAAGACTGCTACAAAAAACAGTTATGTGATTTTTGCTATCTCAGCTTCTATTACTATACTCCCTTCAAGGTTCTTTTAATCTATATATATAAAATCCGAAGTGGCGTCGTATGAGGAAGCAAAACTCAAAAACCCCCCAACAGAAATTAACCAAAATTCCCATGCACATACCTCAACCCACTAGGTACAAACAAACCCAATCAAAATCAAAAACAACACAACACCACACTCACAAAACGGCAAAACAACTGAGCATGCGCATTGGCACCCAGCCGCAAGTTCCCTGGCACGCGCACATGGCCTGGCGGCCAATGTTCCCTCCGCGCAAGCCACGCCCCCATCCTCACGCCGCGCCGCTTCCCGCCCTGTCAAAACCATCGCAACTCACCCTCCTTCATCTTACCCTGCTCACGCCGCCACACACACACACTCACGCCGGTAAGACACGCCTCCTCCCTCCCTCCCTTCCCCCCCACCCCTTCCCTCCCTGTCTCACTCTTTCCCTCCTCCCACCCTCCGCCGGTAAGACATGCCCCCTCCCTTCGCCGCGGCGGCCCAAGCACACTCACGCCGGTAAGACATGCCCCCTTCCTTTCCCCCCACCCCTTCCCTCCCTGACTCACTCCTCCCCGTCGCAAACACACACACACACACACACAACGCTCCTTCACTCCTCCCCCCGCCGCCCACACACACCTTCCGCCACACACACACACATTCACTCCAGTAAGACATGCCCCCTTCCTTCCGGCACACACACACACACACCCTCACCCCCCCCCCCCCGCGCGGCACACACACACACAGGCTCCCTCACTACCTGTTGGGAAAGCAGCAGCAATGGCAGCAGCAACGGAGCATCCACGCAAGGAAGAAGGGGAGGGGGGGAGGGGGAGGAGGAAGGTCCACGGTGCTTGAATGAAGGACCTTCCTTCTCTCCCTCCCCTCCCTTCTTTCCTCCCTTTCTTTCCTTTTCTTCCTTCCTTCTCCTTCCTTTCCTTCTTTCCCTCCTTCCCTTCCTTCCTGTCCATCCTTCCTTTCCTTCTTTTCCTCCCTCCCTCCCTTTCCTCCTTCTTTCCCTTGCTTCATTTCCATCCCTCCCTCCTTTCTTCCCCTCCTTCCTTCCTTCTCCTCCTTCCCTCCCTCCCCTTTTCCTTCCTTCCTGTCCCTCCTTCCTTCTTCCTTTCCTTCTTTTCCTCCCTCCTTTTCCTCCTTTCCCTTTCTTCATTTCCTTCCCCTTCATTTCCTTCCCTCCCTCCTTTCTTCACCCCCCTCCTTTCTTTCCCTCCTTTCTCCCTCCCTTCCTGTCCCTCCTTTTTCCCTTCCTTCCCTTCTTTCCCTCCCTCGCTTTTTCCTTCCTTCCTGTCCCTCCTTCCTTCTTCATTTCCTTCTTTTCCTCCCTCCCTTTCCTCCTTCTTTCCCTTTCATTTCCTTCCACCCTTATTTCCTTCCCTCCCTCCTTTCTTCATCCCCCTCCTTCCTTCCACCTTCCTTCTCCTCCCTCCCTTCATGTCCCTCCTTTTTCCCCCTTCCTTCCCTTCTTTCCCCCCCCCTTTTTTCCTTCCTTCCTGTCCCTCCTTCCTTTCCTCCTTCTTTCCCCTTCTTCATTTCCTTCCCCTTCATTTCCTTATTAAATGGAAGGGACAGTCAAGAAGTAATGAGAGGAGGGAAAAAGGGAAGGAAGAAAGGAGACAAGCAGGGAGGAAAGAAACACGTAGAGATGGAAGAGAAAGATAGGGAAAGAAAAAGAAGAAAGGAAGGAAAGAGAGAAAGAAGGAGAGAAAGAGGGAGGGAAGGTTGGCCACAGCAACGCGTGGCAGGGCACAGCTAGTTTCTCCTAAAGAAATCGTTATTGGTTGTATCTTACTTACTTTGGCGAACCCTCATTGTCCAAGTATGATGGCCCTCCAAGTTTAGTATCTTGGCGGTGGATACGTAGGTAACTGAAGATCCCTATTCTTGACCTGCATATTCTTCCACAGTGAGGGCATCGGTTTCCAGGTGGAAGGCTGTTCCAGTGAGGGTTGGCTTGACACACCTTCCTCTTGACACATGTCTCTCTTTTGCCTTCCATTTGTGCCTCTTCAAATTCCACAGCACTGCTGGCCACAGCTAACCTCCAGCTAGAGCACTCAAGGGCCAGGGATTCCCAGTCTATGACACAATTTTTAAGGTTGGCTTTAAGTCCGTCTTTAAGTCTGTTTTCCTGTCCACCAACATTCCATTTTACATTCTTGAGTTGGGAGTATAGTAACTGCTTTGGGAGATGGTGATCGAGCATTTGGACATGGCCAGTTCGGCGAAGTTGAGGGCGTAGGATCATCACTTCAATGCTGGTGATCTTTGTTTCTTCCAGCACGCTGACAACATTTCTTTTTCATTAAATGGTTATATTTATTTTTACCCTGGCTTTTTCCCTAATTCAAGCAGGTGATAATTTAAAAGAATAGTATAATTAAAACACACAAAAAGCAAACAGTGTATAATAAAATTAATCTAATGGTGATGTTAAAACAATGTGCATGAAAGTATAAAATGCAATTTGAAAAGATAAAGGATATTTGAAATGGTTCCATTAAAAAAAGGCAGCTCTGTTATAAAGTTCTGTAATGTTGAGATTTCTGAATCATCAGTTGCCTATATTCTCCCAGGTCATAAGGGAGGAAAGCATATCCGGCACCAAGAACACTAATATCCAAGATGCTGCTACCAGGTAGGGACACTGTAGTGTGAATAGGTTCATTTGCTTATTTCGTAAGTCAAGAAATCATATCAAAAGGTTTCTTTGCAAAATTTGAAATCATCTTGTATTATCAGGATTATGTGTATGATTTGATTTTGCCCCATTTGATAACTCTATGGAAGGTGTTTTCATCCTTAAAAAATAGGAAAGATTTTATTTGCATATTATTGGACTAGTCACCTTAAGAGAGGTGAGTATCACCTCCTGGTCTGCAGTACAACAGGGTATGAACAGATTAGTTGCCCAATCATGTGAGCAGCAGGGGAGTGGAGTTCCCGTGGATTAGTGTCACGTCTTGGCCATCCTCATGAGAGGAATTGGTTTCAGTGTACTTATGTGTGATGTAAATGCCTTGGAAAGAACTGGTGCTATTGACTATTGGCTGCCTATAGGCTAAGAATCTGTAAAGATTTTTTATTTGTTAGATTAATACAGAGATTGGCTTTTTCAATTGAATTATTATACACAAGTTGTGTGCAAAATTTAAAGAATTTAGCATACGAGACTATGAAAATGAGCTGGAATTCACAAGTGCTATATATGTCACTATATATTTTTTTATTATTTATTTATTTATTTATACGCTTGTATACCGCTAATATCTCAGCCTAAGTCGGCGACTCATTGCGGTTTACAACATTTAAAAACAGTATTCAGTTTAAAAGCATAAAACACATATACAATACAAATTATTGGGCCACCAATAATAATCCCATGCATCTCATAACTGGAATCGCAGTCCAAAATTCATCGTCCATGATTACCAATCCTTTAGTCATCAAAATTCGTTGCAACGGATTAACCGAATGCTTGTTTAAACATCCATGTCTTCAATCTATTCCGAAACACCATCAGCGAGGGGGCTGATCGTACCTCTATGGGGAGGGTGTTCCAAAGCCGAGGGGCCACCACAGAAAAGGCCCTGTCTCTCGTTCCCGCCAGCCGCACGTGTGAAGCCAGCGGGATAGAGAGCAGGGACTCCCCAGAAGATCTTAGGGTCCTGGTGGGCTGATAGGCCGAGATACGTTCGGATAGGTAAGTTGGGCCAGAACCGTTTAGGGCTTTAAAGGCCAACGCCAGCACTTTGAATTGAGCCCGGTAGCAAATCGGCAGCCAGTGGAGCTGGTGCAGCAGAGTTGTATGCTCCCTGCGCTCCGCTCCTGTTAGTATCATGGCTGCCGAGCGTTGGACTAATTGGAGCTTCCGGGCCGTCTTCAAAGGCAACCCCACGTAGAGAGCGTTGCAGTAGTCTAAACGGGATGTAACCAGAGCGTGGACTACCGTGGCCAAGTCAGACTTCCCAAGGTACGGTCGCAGTTGGCGCACAAGTTTTAACTGTGCGAATGCTCCCCTGGTCACCGCCGAAACCTGGGGCTCCAGGCTCAGCGATGAGTCCAGGATCACACCCAAACTGCGAACCTGCGTCTTCAGGGGGAGTGCGACCCCGTCTAACACAGGCTGTAACCCTATACCCTGTTCGGCCTTACGACTAACCAGGAGTACCTCTGTCTTGTCTGGATTCAATTTCAATTTGTTCGCCCCCATCCAGACCGTCACAGCGGCCAAGCACCGGTTCAGGACCTCGACAGCCTCCTTAGTAGCAGGTGGAAAGGAGTGACAGAGTTGGACATCATCTGCGTACAGATGACATCGCACTCCGAAACTCCGGATGATCGCCCAGCGGCTTCATGTAGATGTTAAACAACATGGGAGACAGTATTGAACCCTGAGGAACCCCACAAGACAAAGGTTGTGGGGTTGAACAGGAGTCTCCCAGTAACACCTTCTGAGACCGACCTTCGAGGAATGAGCGGAGCCACTGCAGAACAGTACCTCCAAGACCCATCCCCGCGAGGCGTCCCAGAAGGATACCGTGGTCGACGGTATCGAAGGCCGCTGAGAGGTCGAGCAGCACCAACAGGGACACACTCCCCCTGTCGAGCTCCCGACGCAGATCATCCACTAAGGCGACCAAGGCTGTCTCAGTACCATGCCCCGGCCTAAAGCCAGACTGTGCCGGATCCAGATAATCCGTGTCTACCAAGAATGCCTGGAGTTGTGAGGCCACCACACGTTCCATGACTTTGCCCAAAAAGGGGAGATTGGAAACAGGCCGATAGTTGACGAATTGAGTGGGGTCCAGTGATGGTTTCTTCAACAGCGGTTTTATTACAGCTTGCTTTAAGCTGGCTGGAATTTTGCCTTCCCGAAGGGAGGCATTAACCACCACCTTCACCCACTCGGCCAATCCCCCTCTGGCCTCCTTCAGAAGCCAGGATGGGCAGGGGTCTAGGATGCATGTGGTAGCTCTCATTCCTCCAAGCACCTTGTCCACATCCTCGGATTGAACCAATTGAAATGAATCCATCAAAACCGGACAAGCAGATGCTCGTGTTACATCCTCAGATACTGCCGTTAATCCAGTCCAGAGCGGATCAAAGCGACTTTGTCTGCGAAGAACCGAGCAAAAGCTTCGCAGCGAGCTGCCGAGTCATCAGGGCACCCATCCTGAGTGGTGGGTTTTAATAGGCCTCTGACAACTCGGAACAGTTCAGCCGGACGGTTCTTTGCAGACGCAATAGTGGCCGCAAGGAAAGTTTTCTTTGCGGCTTTTATTGCCGCGGCACATGCCCTTAGAAAGGCCACAAACCGTGTTCGGTTTGACTCGCTCGGATCCAAACACCACACGCTCTCTAGTTCCCTCTTCCTTCGCTTCATCACTGCCAGCTCCTCAGTGAACCAAGGAGCTGGTTTAGCTCGGCTACTTGAGAGGGGACGTTCTGGAGCGATCGTGTCTATTGCCCTAGTCATCTCCCCATTCCAGAGAGCGACCAGAGCATCAACAGGATCACCAACCGAGGTGGCGGGAAATTCCCCAAGAGCCATCAGGAATCCATCCGGATCCATAAGCCTCCTGGGGCGGACCAATTTAATGGGTCCTCCACCTCTGCGGAGGTTAGGGGGTGCAGTGAGTCTAAAGCTGACCAGGTGGTGGTCGGTCCATGGCAACGGAGAGATATATGTGCGTATGCGGCATTTTTATCCCACCCTGCTTAGCAGGTGTGGCCAAAAAGTTAATCTGTTGTTGTCAACAACAAGCAACAGGTGTCCTGCATCTCAACTTGAGATATTTCATATAATTTGTTACCTGATTCTTCTAACTGTGGAAGCCAGTGACTGATCACGAAACCAGTAACACGCAAAGTCAAGTGCTCCACAACTTGCCAGACTTCTGGAGATGGCTCTGGAACTCTCTCCCTAAGGCAGTGGTTCTCCACCTGTGGGTTCCCAGATGTTTGGCCTTCAGCTCCAAGAAATCCTAGCAGCTAGTAAACTAGTTGGGATTTCTGGGAGTTGTAGGCCAAAACGCCTGGGGACCCACAAGTTGAGAACCACTGCCCTAAGGAGATTAGAGTAATGCCCACCCTGTCCACTTACCGTAAAGACCGAAAAACATGGTTGTTCCAATGTGCCTTTGATTAATCGGGTCACCAAAAGAATTGGCCCTTCTAGGCATAACTGCATTCTCAACTCTTGCACTTTACTGTTCCCCCTGCCCTGAAGCTATACTGTACTAATCTGACTTGGCCCTCCAGCCTTAACATTTATCATCTGCCTCTTGCATTTTGCCATCAGCCCTGTCCTGACAGTTGTATCGCACAAGCCTTTCCCTTGCCCCTTAGCCCGGAAATGTCCATTATGCTCGGCTGCTGGTTGTTGTATGATAAATAATGTTTTTTATTATGTTTTATGATGTTGTGTATGTATTTTTATTGTGTTATATTTTAACTCTGTCTGATTGGACTTGGTCCCCATGTAAGCTGCCCCGAGTCCCTTCGGGGAGAAGGTAGTGGGATACCAAAATAAAATTATATATGGAGGTACACATGGTGACTCACCCAATCCTAGCTCTTCATGATAACGCAAAGCAGGCTAAGAGAATATATGTGTGACTGAACCTGGATATCAGACCCTAATATTCAAGGCCACAGAATTGGGATTATGTTATTTACCACCTGCTCATGCTGTAAACAGTCCTGGGCATATGGCTGAAATTGCTTAAAGGCTATTTGTGTTGAGTATTTTCTAGAGACGGTGAGGAAAATTATTCATAGTTCAACTTTTGGATCTACTTGTTTAGGAGTATTCTTCTGTCAGGAAAACTTCAGAACAGCGCACTGCGAGCCCAGAGCCCAGTGTTTCCGGAGCCAAAAGAAGGACTGAAAGTGATCGCAGTCTCAAACGCCTTCATGCCGTAAGTTCTCTGGGAAGGGGATATTCCTTGGGCAAAGAAACAGCATGGGAATTGCATAGGGATTAAATGGCATAGGAAGGAGACAAGTATCTGAGCCCCTTAACTCACTTAATCCTAGTAATTTACAGACAAGTTAGTTATTCTGCTGGTCAGTCAGAAATCCAAGAACAATTCATATTGTTTATTAATAACTGAAACAAGCAGTACTAGGTGAAAAGAGCCTTAGCTCAACTGCTTGGGCTTCCTTTTGGGCTACTTTGTGGAATTAACACCATTGGCATCGGGTTGTTGTGCATTTACCACCAACGCTATATATATAATCTGTTGTTGGAGGCTTTCATGGCCGGAATCACTGGGTTGCTGTAAGTTTTTTGGGCTGTATGGCCATGTTCACCTGTGATGTAGGTGAAACGTCGAGAGATAATGCTTCTGGAACATGGCCATACAGCCCAGAAAACACACAACAACCCAGTGATTCTGGCCAGGAAAGCCTTTGACAAACCATTGGCATCCATTGAATGCTATCAAAGGGTTGTTCTAGGCTTTTTCGGGCTATATGGCCATGTTCTAGAACATGGCCTGAAAAAACCTACAACAACTCAGTGATTCTGGCCATGAAAGCCTTCGACAATACAATGATACCAAAGTTTTGTCATCCTATTAAGACCATAAAATGGATAAGTAGGAAACAGCCTCCAAAAACTATGTGCTTGACATCATTATTGCTTACCTTTAGATGACCAGTGAATATGGTTTTGTTTCAGGTGAATTTTTCTGAGTATTGTTCTTGATGGGATTCCATTGCATTGGATTGTAATACTAAATTATCTAAATGGGAGAGAGATGCTTATAATCCCCCTTTGAGTTATGAAGCAGCAAAATATCTCAGAAATATTCGAGTTTCTTTAGAGAGACACAGTTACTTCAACTGTAGGCTAGCACCTCACTTAGTTAAAGGTAATATTTGAAGGTAAAGGATTACACTGGTGTGGTGAAGTGCATTGATTAGAATTGCATTGTTCTAACTGCATCACTCCTAACTTGCATAGAAACAAATATGCTAATGAAGGTTCTTTCTATCATTAGTAATTGAGTTCTCTTGTAAATTCATTGCCTGCTCTTACTGGTTTTTGATGTGAGTTACAAACCAACTCTGCTTGGTCTCCTCATTTGCTTTTGTTGTTTTTGTTCCTATACCAGTGCGTGCTTAATCTAATAATTTGCTTTTTGCTGAGTTTGCAAAATGCAGAGAGCATCCTCCCCTGAAAAATATTTTTTCCAGCCATTAAGTACCCCCCCCCAAAAAAAAAAACATAACTAAGATCACAAATCACTTCCCCTTAAGGAATGAAAAGTTGAAATGAGATATTTAGATAAACAATTATTAGTTAAGGGATGGATAGGAAACCAAGGCGATTATCTGCCTTCTCCTTCCATCTGTTGAATGCCTCTGCGAGAGCTTTGTTCCTGCATAAACAGGTTTCCCTACCCCAGAGTGCATGTTAGCCTGTGCCAGAGACTGGACAAAGCTTTTGGCATGTGCTTATCTTGCTATTGAAAGCACAGGGTGTCACTTGGGGCCATGCGTTCCTGTAAAAGAGTGTGAGCTGAACATTCAGGAATAGTGAGTTCCTTCTAACTGCAGGCCAATGCCTTTTGGTCACCTTAGATTTAGCAGGTTTGCTGGAGGCAATAGGTTCTGAAATGCTACAGTTTTCATAGTAATGACTTTGTGGCTGTCTTTGTTCCCAGGCATTATTCTTCTCTTTGTCTCTAATTAATCATTTGCCATGTCTTCAAGCTAATAGGTTATAAAAAATAACCCCGGTTCTTTAGCACATGGTGTACATTTTGATGGATGTGTTTTTGCTCCTCAGGAGCGAATTAAGTGCAGATAATGCTGTTTCCATACCTGAAGATTCTCAGACACTTCATAACCCAATTCCTGCAGAGGAAGCTGCTATTATAAAGGTAGGTCACTATGCATGAGACTGCATGAGAAATGCTTGTTATTTGTAAACAAGTACTGGAACATTCCTTTTGCAGCTGCATTACTTCAATATTATGTTTCACTTTAGCTTCAAATGGTGACCATGTTTGGGTATTATGTACATTTGGTGTAGGGCAGGGGTCCTCAAACTAAGACCCAGGGGCCAGATGCAGCCCTCCAAGGTCATTTACCCGGCCTTCGCTCAGGGTCAACCTAAGTTTGAAACGACTTGAAAGCACACAACAACAACAACAACACTATCTCATGAGCCAAAAGCAGGCCCACATTTCCCATTAAAATACTAATAAATTTATTAGTATCTCCTCTCAGCCTTCTCTTCTTCAAGCTAAACATGCCCAGCTCCTTAAGCTGCTCCTCATAGGGCTTGTTCTCCAGACCCTGGATCATTTTAGTCGCCCTCCTCTGGACACATTCCAGCTTGTCAATATCTCTCTTCAATTGTGGTGCTCAGAATTGTACACAATTCTGTATTGTTTTGAAGTGTTTTTTTTTTTTGCACTACAAATAAGATATGTGCAATGAGCATAGGAATTCTTGTTTTTTTTTCAAATTATAATCCAGCCTCCAACAGTTTGAGGGACTGTGACCTGGCCCTCTGTTTAAAAAGTTTGAGGACCCCTGGTGTAGGGAAACACTAGCATCAGATGTAGCCCTTTGGTGTATTGGGGTCTGGTTGACAGCCTTCTCTTCACCCCTGTTGTGGCAATTAGATGCAATTAGCAGAGAGGCCTTTTAGCTGAATAAGTTGATCCTTTTTCCATGAGCCTAATTGCTATATGGGGGGCGGGCGGGGGGGGGGGTAATGCAGAGAGGAGTGTGACAGAGGAGGAAGGAGAAAGTGGAGAGGGAGAGGATGGGGGAGGAAGAGGGAGGGTGCAGAAAAAGAGGAAAATAACAAGAAAGGGAGGAAGATGGAAGCGAGAGGTGAGGAGAATGGATATTTTTAAAACGGTGGGAGAAATAAAAATGAGGCTCATCGGTTCTGGTCATAACCATCCTGGATATGTGCTCTCCCTTTATTTTACAAATACAGGATCATCGGCATAAAAAGGAATTCCATTCTTAGTAACCATACTTTAGCTTTAAGCCTCATCACATCAGCTTCTAGACTGTGTCAGAGCTAGAGCAAATTGGTGTTGATAATGGTATTCTAATGGTATTCTAAACAAGTTAGCCTTAAGATTTAGAGAGCCCACAAGCCCAATGCACACTAACACTACGTGTATGATTTAACATTACATGCCAGTTGAGACCTTCTTAACCACCCCTCCTTAAATCATGAGAAATACACTAAAATGTATAATTTGAACAGGGAGCCTACTTAATCTACATGTAACTTTAGTTCCTGCAATGGATGTTATTTAATTAATTTAAATAAGTCAGTTTGAAATATGGCTGAAACATTATAGAGCTAAAACTTGCCTATAAAAAGTTACAACATAATTAAGCTATCCTATTAAAAAACATTTATTTTAAAAAGCATATTATCATTTAAAAACATGTCAATAAAGAGCACATTTTGGTGCCTCAGATTTTAGATCTGTTTCTGGGTATATTTGACCTGCCGATTCCAAAAATGGCACCAGTTTCCCCCTATCAGCTCTCATTTTTGAGATATAGGTGCCTTCTACCAGTCACCATCCACTCACCCATAGAAAGCCCGGATTGTTCCAGTGTTCCCGGAATAATGATCCCATAGCACTTTGTCCTCCAAAGCACTTTACACTTTTTAGATCTGCTCGTATGCCCTTCCACAAATGCCACTATCACCTTTCATCCATGTCCCAGCATTATTTCCATTTTAACTTTACATTTGGCCTTCCCACTGTTTTTAATTGCGTGTTGTCTTATTGATAATGTATATTTGATTGTCTATGTTTTATTTTAGTTGCTTGTACTGTTGTTGTTTTGCTTGTATTGTTGTATTCGGGCTCGGCCTCATGTAAGCCGCACCGAGTCCCTTGGGGAGATGGTAGCGGGGTACAAATAAAGTGTTGTTGTTGTTGTTGTTGTTGTTGTTGTTGTTATTATTATCATATCTAAGAAACTAGAACTGATGTGGTCTCTCCAATGCAATTTTCTGCATTGTGCCACAAATAACAGGCCTGAAAATGAAGACACCAAGATTTGGGGGGGGGGGGGGGGGCTGTGTCCTGAATCCTAAAATGTATGAGACAGAAAGAACAGCATCAGAAGGAATATTCATGAAACTAAGTCCAGCAACAGCCAGCTTTTGAAAGCAAATGAAAATAGTATCAAGCACTCCACAGCTATGTCTGCTGTCTGATTATAATTTAATTAACTATTATGTTTTGCAGAACTCTCCAGAGGATATCGAGATTTTGTTAACATCACAGACAGAGAATTTAATTGACTTTACAGAAGCCATGCCTCGGGTGAGAGTGAAAATTGAATAGAACTCTGATTTCATTGTTCGGTTGAGAAGGAAATGTGATTGATTTATGTTTCCATTATTCCCACGCAAGGCAGTTTTACTTCCAGCCTAATATCTGTCTGAACTGGTTTCTTACAAATTTATTCTCTTAACCACGATCCTGCTGCTAGTAATGTCATATTTGACGTTATACTTGTTAATGAAGAAACATTTTAAATGAGCTTTTTAACCACGCTGTTACAAAACAGAGGTTATTATTATTATTATTATTATTATTATTATTATTATTATTATATTTATTTATACCCCGCTTTATCTCCTCTGAAGGGGACTCAAAGCGGCTTAACATAAAAAGGTTAGCACAGCATTTAAAATATACAAATATTAAAATAGAATTAAATATAAACCATATTAAAAGATTCACAGTTAAAACCATTCAAACATAGTTTATGCACAATAAAAAGCTAAAACTTGTTACAAAATGAAGGAAATGCTTGTGGATCTAGATGCAGATGTTATATGCTTAGTATTAAACTACCCTACTCACTCAGGTTGGTATGATAGGAATTGTAGTCCTGCATTGTCCAGATGTTGCCCTCCAGTTGCTTGGCCCTCCAACTCCTAGAAGCCTCTGCCACCTTGTTCAGTGGTTAGGGATTCTGGGAGTTGTAGGTCTAAACAGCTGGAGTTCTGCAGTTTGAAGATGCCTATTCTAGTAGATCAGTGGTTCTCAACCTGGGGTCCCCAGATGTTTTTGGCCTTCAACTCCCAGAAATCCTAACAGCTGGTAAACTGGCTGGGATTTCTGGGAATTGTAGGCCAGAAACATCTGGGGACCCCAGGTTGAGAAACACTGCAGTAGATGACGCATGTCATGTTTTGCATCCCTTCTTTAGTGAATGAGGAAGGAAGCTGAGGGTCTGCTCTTGGCTATGCTAGGCTTCTTTTCAAAAGAGAGTGCCTGAATTAATTTATCTTCCCATCTCTCAGGATTATCAAAAGAAGCAAGCCTAGTTTCTTTAAGATCGGAAATGTGCATAGAGCAGGACTCTTTCAAAAATCTGTGAATCTGTGGGAGTTGATAAGAAATGAGTTACGTGGGATTGTAATGGGCAAGCAAAGTATCTGGGGAGAAATGGAGAGTCATGTGAGAGCAATGAAAACAATTGAAATAGTTTCTGTGTTTCTGATCTCCTGTTTCCTTCTGATTTTTAGGTGTCTTCTCCACCCACAATTATGCCCAGGTGGTTAGTGCCAGTAAGTTACTGAATAATACTTAATATCCATGACATTGTTGAAGGCTTTCATGGCTGGAATCGCTGGGTTGCTGTGAGAATGCCATGTTCCAGAAGCATTCTCTCCTGATGTTTCACCTACATCTAGTGTAGGCATCTTCAGAGGTTGAGGGTATGCCTCTGAGGATGCCTACCATAGATGTGAACGAAACATCAGGAGAGAATGCTTCTGGAACATGGCCATACAGCCCAGAAAACTCACAGCAACTCATCAATGACTTATTTTTCTAACTTTATATTAGGAACTCACTTGAAAATTAAACAATGTCTGATAAACTATTAGTGGCAGTAAATTGAAACATAAAAAGGTAATCTCAACTGTGTTGTTAAGAGCCCATCCCTTCTGCCTTTGGAAAAAGCAGTATGCAAATTAATATGGTTTTGTACAATCAAATTTCTAAAAATTTTCCCATTTCTGTTTCATAATGGAAGTTTTTATCTTTTCCTCCTAAAGCGTGGATGAAGCCACAAAAAGTTGAAAGAGTCTCTGCCATCTTTGGCTTGGAGCATGTCTCCCCCTTCAGTTTGCCAACCAACCTATTTTCTCATGGCAGAGAGTGGTAGTTAGTCCAAAGCAGAACTTGGACAAGATGCCTCTGGACTAGATCTCCCAGAATCTTCCATCCAAGGATGATTTTTGCCCATATAAACTGGAAGTTTCAGAGAAATATAATTCCTAAAATAACTTTTCCAAGTTCCAGTTCAGAGGCGGGCCAAACTAGCTTTGCTATCTCTCTATTCCTGTCTGCTTCTGGCTGTTTTTTTTTTTAATCCCCCTGGAAGAACAAGAATTTGAAATCTATTCAATCTAATCAGGGCTTGTCAGGACAGGACTGCACAAACGGATGTCTTCCTTGTAAAGTGGAGGATGGGGATCGCAGCAGCTGTGAGCTGGCAAAAGAAACAGAAGTAATTCTCAGTGACAGAAGTACAGCTGCCAGTGATATGGATGTCTCCTCCTACCCAGCTCACATGATGAAAAAGACCCTTCCTGACAAATCCTATCTTGCTTTTTCTTGGTGCCCCCCCCCCCCCAAACCTTGCTTTGCCCTGAAATTCACTCCAGGCCAATTCCCTAGACAGAGACCGAGAATGGAAAGGAAGACCAACATAAACAAAAAGTGAAAAGGAGACGTGCAGGGAAGAATGTGACTATTCTCTGCCTTCTAGTCCCCCTGCATTTATGTTATCTTGGCAAACGTGATTGATAACATGCATTTTTAAAACAGCACACTGTGCTTTTCATGGCTTAACTTGTATTACTGTACCAGCTTCCTTCCCTTTTTTTTTGTTTTATAGAGTGGACTGGTTTCCAATGGACCTTTGGGGAGTGAGGTTGCTTTAGCTCTTAAGGCAGCAAGAGGAAGCAGCGAGGCACTCTCGGTGTTAGCTGGCTCTCCGCCACCATTGTTCTCCCCTGAAATCATGCCCAGGTAGGGATCTCTCCACTGCTGCAATTAGTTTACTTCAATCTTAATATATTGAGTATGTGCTGTTTTTGTAGCTCTATTCTACATTGAGAGTAGGTGTACTTGATTACTATGCTAGTGGAGTCTAATTGCTTTTGGTCCTTTCTGATCGTGGTAAGCAAATCTTAAACTGTAATCATGACTTTAGTTATTATGTTTGTCCTTTGTGAAAGAGCAACACAAAATCGGCATTGAGAGACGATATCTGGAATTGTTTTGCATGCTGTCAGGTTTTATGAGCCAGGAGAAGAGTCCCCCTTCCTATTACGCTAGACTTTATCTCCCACATGTTGTTTTCTTTTCAGTGCTGTTGCTGAAGATGCCACAAGAGAGCCAAAGTGTTTGCTCACCACTGAACTCTGAGCTTTGGCAAAGTCTCATCTTCCTAGCATCTCTTGCAAGCCCTCAAAAAGGACTTCCTTGGAATTATCCAATGCTGTGACCACGGTTAAAAAGAAATACCTGGGTGTTTTATTGTGGATCCTGTCAACTGGAATTAGAGTTTAACTATAGGACAAAGAGCTCTGGGAAGCCTGAGCACCTCTTCGTAAAATACACTGGAACAAGTCTCGATGCGTATTGAAATTTGTGAGGTTTCCATCCATTAGTAGTACATAGAACTCTTTGCTGACTTATAAATGTAAAAAGAAAGTGATCACTGTGATGAGCCAGTTAGCTGAGTTTATTTGCATCCAGTAAATGGAAGGATCAAACATTTTAAGGCCATCTGCTGGTCATTGCTATAAGAACAAATATTACTGATTAAAAAAAATAGAGCAACCACTCTCTTATTCTGTGGGGCCAGCTTCTCTGATCCTCTTTTGTATTGATATCTGACCAGTTTTCTTGGCCTTAATCAGCTTTCTAGATTGTGTACTTTTTCTCAGAATGTAAGGACCAATTTTTATTCCACTAGCAGGTTACACTTTTCTAATCTGGACGTGGAAGCAATTATCTTATCATATACTTTAAAGATACTGCCATTTCCATGAGTACATTGCCACATTCTCTCCCATTCTGTATAAATGACTGTATGGTAAGCAATGGGTACACTTTCAGTGAAGGAAAAACTTGAGAGAGAAGAACATATTCCTTTGTGGTCTTTCACAGGGTGATGTCTAGACTTGAGAAGAAATAACCTGAAATTGTTAAAGTTCTTCTGAATATGTCTGTGTCCATTCTACAAAGTGCATTACTCTTGTATTGCAGACATTGCATGTTCGTGTAAGTAATATATTAGGAGTTATTGTTCTATTTCTCTCTCTGCTCCAGGGGAGGTTGCAATTAGACTTTGCCCATACTGATTGTTAAAGCAAAACATGCCAACAACCTTCCCTACCTTCTTTAAATTAACCAATAACTTGGCATTTAGAGAAAAAATTCCCACTATGCATTGAAGAACTGGTTATTTTAGACCGATAGCAGAATTGTTTTCTACCATAAACTCAGGAAGAATGCTGTATGTGAGCTAAGTGAGCCTCTGTTTATCTCACATGTAGATTTTTTTAAATCTGATGTCTGCTTTGAACACTGGAAGAGAACAATTAAAACAGGAATATGCAAATAAGACACTGCCCTTTTGTCCCAGCTCCCAAACTAACTGAGCTCCCTTCTTGTCATCAAAAGGGGGTACAATATGGAAAAATGCAATCATTTTCACAGTTCCAAAATGACCTTTATAGTGGAAAAGCAATTTGGTTTGCAAGAAGGGGGTGCTTTAAGATGAACAGTTCCTAATGTTGTCAATTGGAAGATGTAATATACCTGTCCTATGTTTTCTTCTGAACAAAAAAAAGATGATGGAGAAGAAAAGCATGGAAAGGTATAACTGGAAACATTAGTATCTTGATCCTCTGTAAACATTATTGTTTGAAACAGAGCATTTATAGGATAAATGCTTCACCCGAAAGTGTTCCCAGTTAGAAGAAACCTTCTAGTTAGTTAGTTAGTGTATTTACACAGTCAGTTATACATGGAGTATCAGACAAATTCATTGTGTGAACAGCTTGGTCACTCTTGTCTTTCCCCTCATTTCCCCCTTGCAGCATAGCATACACTGGAGCGCAGGATGCGTATGGGGAGGGGGAAAGAGCCAACTACAGGGTGTTTGCTTTACTCCTTTGTGTTCCCTAGAACATTGCAAGTCTAGCCAGTTTGTAGAGTGTTACATGTTGATTTGCATTGCTCAGTTCAACAAGGCCCAGCCCAAACATGCTGTTTGTGTGATGCAGGCCTCCAAATGTGTTGCTCCACATCATCCCTGGCTAGCAGCCTGTTAACTGTGGGGCACTCGGTGGAAGGCTGTTGGAAGAGATTGGTGTATCTTATTTGCAGGTTACTATTACCTAAAAGTTATTCTAGGTTCTGAACAGTAGCCTAACTGAGAAATGCTGGTAAAGTAACATTGACTTTAGTTAATGCAAATGTGGGGAACCTTTAGACCTCAAGTAATTGATGAATAACTCTTCCCATCATAGCTCATTTCTGGCTAGCTAGGGCTGATGGGCATTAGGGTTCAACAATATTTGGAAGGCCAGAGTTTTGCAATCCAGGTCTTAATACATTGCACTAGTGTTTAAAGAAACTGATCAAATTGCTTGATCACTTCATACAGTTATTGAATGGCCGGAGCAAACCTTAGGAGTTTGTAGTAATGCATACTGAAATGCTTGGTTGTTCAGCATCAATATCTTATCCTGTGCGAGCAAACATTTCACCTGCTTTATGTAAGGACAATGGCATTGAGGAAAATACAGTATTCCACATGTATGGTTCTCAGTTGCACACTCAAAACAAGAAAGTGTTCTGTTTTTCCTTCTTGCTTGTTTTTCTTAACTGGACAAACTTACTTTAAAGTACGTAAGAGTTTTTGCATTAGAATATTTTGTTAAAGAACCACACCACTAACTGCTGTATTTGTAACTTTTTTAACGATGTAGAGCTTGACAGTTGCTCTAAGTATAACTTATTTTTTTAAGTATTGTGTACATATACCTGGTGCACAGTTTCATGGCTGCAGATGTACAAACTGTGCTAGAATAACTGCACTGAACATCTGTACACGGGAACAATGACTGTGAGTTGTAGTCCACTTGAAATTGGTGGCAAGCCAATTATGTTGTAGTTTATTTCTAAATATAACAACTGTGCAAAATGATTGGCTCTTGTGTTCTCTTTATAGAAGAAGACTGACATAGCAGTCTGAAACTTGTTCACAAAGCATATAGGCAAAATCTATTTCTTCCAGGAGTTCCTGAGTGTCTAGAACAGTGCTTCTCAACCAGTGGGTCCCCAGATGTTTTGGCCTTCAACTCCCAGAAATCCTAACAGCTGGTAAACTGGCTGGGGTTTCTGGGAGTTGTAGGCCAAAACACCTGGGGAACCACTGGTCTAGAAGCTCTTTGTTTTGCATAATTCTTTGTTTTTCCTTCTGTTAGAATTAAACAAGGTGGAAGCACTGTGGTAACAGAGTCTTCATCTTAACACAAGATGCATGTCTGAAAATTGATTTGCAGACTCAATACATTTTGCCCCTAAGTCATTAACCATGGAATATACATGTTCTACAAAGTAATGTGGCTTGCACATTTGCTGCAGGTAAGAGATATACTAAATTTACATAAACCATTAGCCATCTTCAGTGTAAGAGTTGAGGCCTCCCCATCTGTTTTGATGGGCAAAGTCTGAAGAGGTGTTTAACCATGTTCAGGCAAACTGGTTTACTATCTTTCTATTAAGAGAGACATTGCAGGGCTAAATCAGGCATTTTTGAAAGGCTGAAGGGAGTTTTAATGCCCAGTCAATACTGCAAGCCATTTAATTAGGGTACTTTTTTCCCTTTTATGTATGTATGTATGTATGTATGTATGTATGTATGTATGTATGTATGTATTGGCCTCCCTCTCTCCCAAAAGGGACTCAGGGCAGTTTGCACACAGAAACAGGCAAATATTCAATATTACAAAGTACAAACAATAAGCCACCATTCTTCACCTTTAAAGCTTTCATTAAACAAATATTATTTGTAAGAATAGAAAATAACATGTAAACCAAAACATGTTTATTTTAAAAACCATTTAATATGCATAGGTTTTGGCAAGTTATAAACAAAAGATATAAAGGTTAAGACAGCTCAGAGAAGTCATTGCTCTACTGACTAGAGTTCAGGATTTGTGAAACTGACAAAGTACTGGAGAAAAAGCTCAGGAGAGGCTTTTCCAGCTACTGCTCATTTATCAACCTCGTCCTCTGCCAAATGTTATTTTCCACCTCTGACAAAAACGCCAGCTTATCACACTGAACCCTTCAAACTTCATTGATGGAAGGACTATAGATTTATCATACTAGAGAAAACATACTATATGGCTGAGCAACAGTGCATTCAGATATTTTAGCAACTGAATGGCCAGTAAGGCCATAGGGTTTTTTTTTTTTGTTTCCTGCACATTTTGAGCTCATCCATATGAAAAGTATCCCTGTGAGTCTCTAATCTTATCTCTGCTGCAACCATTCAGCTAAATATGCAATGAATATCACTGGTTATTGATGACAAAATTAGAGTAATCTAGGTTTTCCTGTACAGAACAAGGCTGGCTGGCTGTAAAAAATAAATGTCTTATAAGCCATAAATAAAGATGAGTAGTGCAACATAGTGAAGACACAACTTCCTGCAAGAGAGATCTTCAGGTTCTGCTACAGTTTCCCTTCTTGCAAATGAGGAAAAACTAAAAGTGTATGTTTCTTGGGGTATTTGGTCACAAAGCTGAGCTTCAAAATATAGACAGGTTTAGTGGTCTTTCCTCTCCCCAAACAGCCATTCACATTTGCAGATTTGATTAAAATGTGTTTTATAGGAATCTATAGGTCCTCCAGTGTGACTCCAGTCATCCTCTACCAGAAGCTGAACATGGATTCATTCTTGAAGAACCCAGAGACTCCTTAAGTGGTTTTCTCAGGTTAAAAAAACATGTTTTATTTTTAGTGCCCCAAATCCCATCAAATGTGGACAGTTGACTGTGTGTGTTATTTCTGCAGAATCAGTATTTTCTCTGCATAGAACATACAATTTATGTTTTCATAGAGATTGGAAGAGCTTCGATTACTTCATCTCCTTTTCAAAGTGACTGAAGAAAATATATAGCATCAAGTTTACCCTAGTTTGAGCCAAAATTGAGCAAAAATACTTTGCATATTTACTACCATTATATGGAGTAAAATCAACCTAGCACACAAATAGGGAATGCAAACATGACTTGCGCATGCGTGAAGGATACAAGTAAGGTATTAAAAAGGATTCCTGGTACTTCTAAATTTACATCAGTTGTGTGGTGACAACCATTTTGCTATAGTCTGTATCAATTACATTACGTTCCTCAATTACAGCTATATACTAGATGACTTTACTGAGTACACCCTTCGTAGATGAGTTATCATCCTGTGGCATCTTGAGGGATGTAGGGAACACTGGATCTTCATATAATTTTAGAGAACAACCGGGGGGGGGGGGGGGGGGTGAAAAATAGAAGCTGGGCTCTGTTTTTGGTGTATATGATTGCAGTCTAGAAAAAATGGGTTGTGGTAGGTTCTTTGAGCTGCATGTTCTAGAAGCATTCTCTCCTGGCGTTTCACCCGCATCTATGGCAGGCATCCTCAGGGGTTGTGACCTCACAAGCTCTGAGGATGCCTGCCATAGATGCAGGCAAAATATTTTATTTATTTTATTATTTTCCGTCACTTTTACCCCGCTCTTCACACCCCCGGGGGGGGGACTCAGGGCGGCTTACAGAGGAAGGCACAATTCGATGCCTTTGTCACATATACATATATATATATAAGCAAATTAAACAATTACACATTAAAAATTTAAAAACATCACTACACAACAATACAGTAACACAGTAATAGACTAATCCTGAGCTCAGCGTTCGGAGTTTCGTAAATCCGTTCCGTCTCGTCAAATTCCAGCTCGTCATCAGGTCTTTCTTTAGCTGCCATGATGTCCAAATGCCTGGTCCCAAATCCAGGTTTTCAACTTTTTCCTAAATGAAAGAAGGGATGTTGCCGATCTAATCTCCCCGGGGAGTGAGTTCCATAGGTGGGGGGCCACCACCGAGAAGGCCCTGCTCCTCGTCCCCGCCAATCTCACTTGTGATAGAAGGCGGGGTCGAGAGCAGGGCCTCCCCAGAAGATCTTAGGTTACGAGGTGGGACGTAGAGGGAGATCCGTTCGGACAGATACACTGGGCCGGAACCGTATAGGGTTTTGTAGGTCAAAACCAGCACTTTGAATTGTGCTCGGAATTGGATCGGCAGCCAGTGGAGCTGACACAACAGGGGGGTGGTGTGCTCCCTGTATGTCGCTCCGGTGAGCAATCTGGCTGCCTCCTGCTGGACCAGTTGGAGTTTCCGAGCAGTCTTCAAAGGCAACCCCACGTAGAGTGCGTTGCAGTAATCCAATCGGGATGTAACAAGAGCGTGGACCACCGTGGCCAAGTCCGACTTCCCAAGGTACGGGCGCAGCTGGCGCACAAGTTTTAGTTGTGCAAAAGCTCTCCCGGCCACCGCCGAGACCTGGGGTTCCAGGCTCAGCGATGAGTCCAGGATCACTCCCAAGCTGCGAACCTGCGTCTTCAGGGGGAGTGTAACCCCATCCAACACAGGCTGTAACCCTATGCCCTGTTCGGCCTTACGACTGACCAGTAGGACCTCTGTCTTGTCTGGATTCAATTTCAATTTGTTAGCTCTCATCCAGTCCGACACAGCGGCCAAGCACCGGTTCAAGGTGCTTGGCCTTGAACCGGTGAGAAGGCCAAGCACCTTGAACCGGTGAGAGAATGCTTCTAAAACATGGCCATACAGCCCGAAATACCTATAACAATCCAGTGAATCCGGCCATGAAAGCCTTCGACAATACTTATAATTTGACACATGTATAAACTGAATAAACTACATTTAGGGCCTTGTATACTGCAGGGGCTCTAAACACCAGAAAAGGGAAAAAAAGACACGTAAAGGTTTATGTTACTGTGTGGGATGACAGGAGTAATTTTATGGGCTCACTTAAACTTCACATAATTTAGGGCCTCAGCATGACTTAATCTGGTCTTCTTTATCTCCTACTCTTTTGAAGGGGATAAGGAAGAATCCTACTCAGTAGGTGGTCAGTCTGGTTTTACGCCTCGTAAGAACTATATACTTATCTTGGAGTAGTCTCATCAAGTCTGTTTCTAGGAGTCTAAAATTACTTGGCAAAGGGGGACTTAAATTTCATGTATAGGGTGAAGTCCATCCTGATTCATACGTACAGATGATGCAAATTCAAGCAGTGTGTCCTATTAGCCAAGAAGCTGGAACCTTTAAGCATAATATCTCCCAATTAAATTATTGTTTCAGCCACAAAGTCAAAGTCTGTGGGCAAGCTTGCTACCCTTTATTATCACTAAATCTTTAAAACATAGGGATAATACTGACTGATCTTAATAAGTTATTGTAAGGTTGCCTTGCAAGGACAACTTGCAAAGGGGTTTGGACATTCTCAACCTGTGGGTCCCCAGATGTTTTGGCCTTCAACTCCCAAACATCCTAACAGCTGGTAAACTGTCTGGGATTTCTGGGGGTTGTAGGCCAAAACACCTGGGGACCCACAGGTTGAGAACCACTGGTTTAAAAGCATTATATATGTGGGTTGTTGTAGGTTTTTCGGACTGTATGGCCATGTTCTAGAAGCATTCTCTCCTGACGTTTCGCCTGCATCTGTAGCAAGCACCTCTGAGGATGCTTGCCACAGATGCAGATGAAACGTCAGGAGAGAATGCTTCTAGCACATGGCCATACAGCCTGAAAAACCTACAACAACCCAGTGATTCCGGCCATGAAAGCCTTCAACAATACATTATATATATATGTCAAATATAAAAATTAAATACAATACCATTCAGCATGTTCAGTGGAAAATTCTGCAGCACTGAATTGCAGGACAAACTCAGTACCAAGATCCACTGAGACTAGCTAAACGGTGTCCTTCCAAAGTGAAGGACTCCAGGAAGAACAGATATGTAGCTCACAGATACATTCCATTGATGAAGAAAGCGATACCAGGATTTCTTGACAAGACGTGTAAACAGCTAAAGTGCAGACCATATTTCCTGGTAGCTGACTTCACCGAGGCCTGGCATGCTCCTGTTTTCTCTTCCTGGTGCCTCTGCACAAGACATTTGAAGTGCTTTACAGCTCCATTTGCCAGAATGAAATTGCTGAGGAACCAGATAAAGGTTTACCTCCCAGAAGCAGTACAGCAGAGGGTTCCCCGGGATCCACACTGCCAGGCTGTGAAGAGCTGAAACTGTCATCTTTTTCTGTCAGATCAGTGGTGGAAAATTCTTGTTCCATTGCAAGGTTGAGGTATGTCATTCTCTCTTTCCTGCACCAGATGTCTACTGCCTGCTTGGCACTCAGCTCTTCACTGGAAGTGGTATGGAATAAGCAGAATCTCGGCTGTTCCTGAGAATGGCGAAAAGTTTTCATTTCTATTTGATTGCCGTCCTCATTGCTGAATGTCTGGTAGCTAGGCTCTTGGTGGTTCTCACAGAAACAGGCGTGACGCTTAGAGATAGCTAGAAGTTTTGAACAGCCCTTCTCCTTTGGGTGCAAATAGCTGGTTGATATCCTTGAAGAATCATCGGTTCCTGGGAAACCCAATCCAATGCCCAAAGTGCAGTGATACGATTTGCAAGAAGGATCTGTCAGGCTAGCCGTTTTTTTCCACATTTGAGAAGGAAAATGATATTTCCACAAAGTACTGCTTGGCGTGGTATTAAATACTCCTCCACCAAAGACCAGCATCGCATCTTTGAAGATTAAAGCAGAGTGTCCCACCATTTTGGGAGGTCCCTGGCTGGACACAAGCAAAGAAAAAGGGGAATAAGATGAAGGACTGCAAGGATTATGCTAATAAAAACAGGGTAGACTTGAAAGTTCATTAACCATTCTTCCTACTCCCTCTAGTGTGTTTCCTTTCACTCTATGTATTCAAATATGTGTCCAAATACCCCAGTGGTGCAGTGGGTTAAACTGCTGAGCTGCTGAACTTGCTGACAGAAAGGTCGCCAGGTCAAATCCAGGGAGTTGGGTGAGCTGCTGTTAGCTTCTGCCAACCTAGCAGTTTGAAAACATGCAAATGTGAGTAGATCAATAGGTACCACTCTGTTGAGAAGGTAAGGACATTCCATGCAATCATGTTGGCCACATGACCTTAGAGGTGTCTACAGACAACGGCGGCTCTTCTGCTTAGAAATGGAGATGAGCACCAGCCCCCCAGAGTCAGACACGACTGGACTTAATGTCAGGGGAAAACCTTTACCTTTCCAAATATCATTAAATATAAAATTTGTATTGCTGTCTGTACTGCCTCATCTTTTGTAGTTAGTAATGTTTATGCAGTGCTTCACTGTCATACACAGTTTCTCACTTCTCTCAACCAGCTTTCTGAAACTGCATAACCACTGTGGATTTGTCATTTTCACAACTACCAAAATACAAAGAAAAAGTTGTTGTTTTTAAGGCATTAAATAGTTGCCTATGTGTAAAGCCACCTTGAGTCCCCTTTGGGGTTAAGAAGGGTGCGGTATATATATGGTAAATAAATAAATACCCTAAAAGACACCTTGATGTGCCATTTGTACTGACATATAAAATTGGTTCTGCACCCACATATTAAGGGGTTTTTTTACTTCCCTTTCTCGCTCTCTTGAGTGTATCTGGCCCACATGCATGAGGAATGTTTTGTGCTTGTGAATGGAGCCTTTGAATCCCAACAAAGGCAGCTACAGTAATGTGATTTGTATTAAAGTACAGGCTATAATCCACTTGCTTGCCCCAACTACAGTAAATCTACTGAATCAATGAAACGTATATACGTGCAGTTATAACAAGTTCACATTGATACAGTAGGTCTACTCCAGCTGGAATAACTAGATTTCTGCCACAGTTTGCACAATAAACAGACTTGCATCTCCTTTTCTAGTACAAATGCAGGTTAACGTTGTCACATGATGCAGGCCGCCTGCTTTTTGACCTTGCTAATATCAGGTTCGGCATTCTCTACTTCACTTGCCAAGTTCCTGTTTGCTGAAGCTTTGAATATATAAACCTCATATATTTACCTCAATTTGATATTAGACCAGTTGGCAGCCACGAAATCCCACTTCCAGAAGTCCTTTTGTTCACTCAGCCCCATCAACCCTCCAAACAAGTACATGCCATTGCCATACACCACAGCTGAGTGACCATGCCGGGGGCCTGGATTGTTGCCATAAGATGCTGCAGGGAGAGGGGCCCACTGCTTTGTATCTGAAAGAAAAGGAGTGTTACAGTTATTTTCTGCAGAGATACAAAAAACACTTTTTTCTTTACACACTACATCTCCTTTGAATCTTGCCTATATTGCCATCCATTTTTTGTTCCTATCAAGGCATGACACACGATTGTTTGTCTTTTCATAAGGAGAATTATTTGCATTTTCTATTAAGTATGCATTTTGACACACTTTTTCTGAAATGTGCATTTTTGTACAGGTTTCCTCACTTAAAGTGTATTTATGAAGAATTCAAAATTGTATTTTAGCTATTTCCCTTTTTACAATGTTTGCATGATTTCTGTTACTATGAAATATACCTATTGTACTACTACAAAATATACCACAAGATTCATAAGTATTTGAATTTTGAGACTCTCACAGATAGTCTTGGAAAATATGGAATGGATATTGTTAGCAAGAATCTCAAACTCCATTCATACTCAGCAGCCATAACAAAAAGCAGCTGAAGTCAGTTGGAATACTCATTTTGGAAGTTTCAAAGGGCTCTGAACCATCGTTGCCAACCATTCTTGTCACATGTCAATTGAAAACCTTTTAACTTACCAAAGCATAAAGTCCAGAATTCTTGGGAAGTACCCTTAAGGTCAACATATCCACCATACATGTACATGCTGCTTCTGTAGACAACTGCACTATGACCCTTCCGATTAACAGGTGTTGTTCCCTGGATGAAGGAGAATCGTGGTAAAAACAGTTGAAATTTGTGTCTATCCCACCTTCTCAAGCAAGAGCAGATGGTGTCTGAGATCCTGCATCTCCAGACATTTATTTATTTGTTCTATTTGTATCCCGCCTTTCTCTACCCCAAAGGGAACTCAAGGCTGCTTTACATATAACATCTATTCAATTCCTTTGGACAACAAACAGTTAAAATACACGTAAGTTAAAAAAATTAAAATTAAATGCACATTAAAACATAAAACATTGAATTCACTATTAAAATCACACCATCCTAAATCGTAATCTAGGGCCGTTCCAATGATCAATTGCACATATTTCGAGGCCATTATTGCACAATAGATTAATCTCCAAAGGCTTGACCTCAGAGCCAGACATAACTATGATGGTGGAACTCCATTCTCCTGGTCCTGTCAGATGAAGCTGCCCTCTACCAAAGCATACCTTTTCAGCTACAGAGTGCAGATCTGGTCATGAGGAAATGACACCTGAAGTACTCTCCCAATCATGGGGCGCACTGGGAATACGCCGCTGGAGACATCCCACCAGGTCCCACTGCTTCTCCCAAAGCATCATTTCCCACCATTCTAATCTGCAGCACCTTGAAAACACTTTGTTTGGGGGCCTGCTTGGCTAAAAGGTAAGTTTGAAAGTTTTGAAAGGCTATAAACTACTCCTTCCTAAAAAAAAAAAATCTTTAAAAACAACAAAGCCTACCTTCAGACTGCATGTACAATTACAAAGTCCTCCCAAATGCTCTTCCCTTCCTCTGATCAAAAGCAGTCTGTAAAACTGATGGTGCTGTATCTGATTAGGACATTAACAAGGGGTAGGGGAAGGAAGCAAATTGAAAGTTCTATCTAATATGGAATACTGCAGCTCACAAGTATTTCCTGATAGGAGAAAAATTAAGAAATCAAAGTTGCACCTGCTCGCCCTCTCGTTAAATCTGCATCTCCATTGCACCTGAGAGATGGGGAAGCATTGAGTTTTGAGCAAGGCTGTCTACACCCTCCCCCCCCCCCAAACACACACACATGTACTGACTGAAAGTACAATATCTTGTAACCTTTAACCTGAAGAGAGTTTTAATAGAGTTCATGCTTTACTTGTTTCCACCAAATTGTGTCAGAGCCCCATGTGCTTCTGGATTTCCATAGATACATTACATAGTCCCAGTAACCAAATGAGGAAGGCCAATAATGATAATAGCAATTCTGTGTGGAGAGAAATGATGTGCGCACAACATGCACATTCTATCCAAAGTACAATTATTTTCTTAGTGGTCTCTGTGAATGACACAATTGGGTAATCTGTGCAGGCACAGAGCACTGTTCTAGAATCACTAGGCAGAAACGTTTTGGCGGTAACCCTGCCCACCATCCCGAGGATATATAAGGCATAGTTGCTGCTGAAACCCTTCAGTTCCTTTTGGCTTACAAAACAGACGAGGGCAGAAAGAAAAAGAGCAAGAAATCCAATTAAAAGGGTGAACCTCAGGCATCTCGTGCTGAACCATCAACCCTAACCAGGGGCCCTGGTGATTCCTCCCACATTGTCTCTGGAAGGAAGGTCTGACACCACTGAGTCATACTATGAGGGTGAAGAGGTTGATGCTACTGTGGAAGTGGTTGGGGCCCTCCCACCTATGCCTCTGACTATGAGGACGAGCCAGAACGAACCAGGCCCACCAGCAGACCAGCCTGTTTGGGCAGAAGCCCCCTTGTGCCACTATGATTTAATCTTAAGTACATGGACCAAGTGTCTTTGATGGTCCCTTGGCACTGTGAAAAGGGTGCTCAAAAGTTGAGGTCTCTCATACTGGGAAGGAGGCCAATAATGATATTAAGGAATTCAGCGTTGGGAGAAACTATGTGTGTGCAACATGCATATTCTATCCAAAGTACCATTCTTATTTGAAGATTCAAAGCAATATATACCTGAGGATGATATTCAAGGGATGAGCAATAAGAATCCTTATTCGTACAGGGAAGCCATTACGTGCAACACGCGCTGCTGCTGCATTTCTTTGGCTCAGCCCAGCCTGGAACTGTTTTCAGAATTTATTCCCAAGCAAGCTGTTTAATCAACAAAGTAACATATTTCATGTATGATTCATACATTTCTGTTTTCCAGTTCCTTACCTCACCCTCCACTGCTGTGAGTTGGCGCTCCATCCACTTGGTTCTATCTGCAATTTTAATATAGTATATAAGCTATAATACTAACCACAAGAGGGCACTGAAACACTACATGCAAGGCTGAGCTGACCTCTAAAGAAGGTGATATAGGGAAAGATTGAAACTCCCATCCTTTTCTCAGCAACTAAGACATTTTTCAGTAGAGCTCGGAATAACAATCCAGGTTTAATCTTAAGTACTCTACATCCCATTGTTAGCCACAGCTACAGTGCAGCTACTAAAGGAATGCATACTTGATAATTCAACAACTCACTAAATTCTGTTGATACTTCTTCCTTTTTTTCCCTAAGTATTTTTTAATATTGGGTATTGGCCTTTCCTGAAAATTATATGTTTCCAGCAAATTTAGGGTGATAACATGATGAACAAACATATGAATGAGGAAGTTAATCTCTCCTCTAACACTGGCTTTCCTCCCAAAATAAATAAATAATGCAGCTGTATCCCCATTTTCTGAAAATCTGAAAGATGCAAAAACTTAGAAAAAATTCTGCTGCTGCCACTTCCACCTCTGCAAGACCTCCCAACCACAAAAGTTTCACAGGCACATTTTTTGGAAGCAAAAGTTCAGGCTATAAGCTGAAAATTGCTCTTAGGAAGACTGAAAGATTCCACTTTAGGCAGTTTGCTTTTTCCCCCTAAGAACAAGTCATATAGATAAGAGAACAACTGGAAATCCATTGGTTGCATATCCCAGAATGCTACATTTTCCAAATGTGTAATGCTATTAGAAAATCCTACTTGTACCGTACCAGTGTCATACATCCAGAGAGGATTCTTCTTCTGTGTGAACGCAGAGTCTACCATTCCACCAAAAATATAGAGAATTTCCTGCAAACACAGTTGTGATGTTCCAGTGAATGATACTTTATAGGCATCAGTACAATACCATGAATTCAAGTCACAATCTATAATGTACTAGCTGTTCCCTGCCATGCGTTGCTGTGGCCCTCCGAAAACAGAGGAATTCTAGGCATGAAACAATAGACAGAAGGGACAGATGGAAGGGACACTGACAGATGGAACAGAAGGTAGATGGATAGAACACAGATAGATAGATAGATAGATAGATAGATAGATAGATAGATAGATAGACAGAAAGACAGACAGACAGACAGACAGACAGACAGACAGATAGATATAGATAGGTAAATGGATAGATGAATAAATGGATGGTCAGACAGACACACTCACACACACTTTTAAGGCCAAAGGGGATTGAACTGAATGGCCTTTGGGGCTTCCTTCCAACTAGTTGGCCATCTGTCAGGTAGGCTTTGATTGTGTTTTCCTTTACTGGCAAATGAGGTTGGACTGGATGACCTTTGGGGCTCCTTTCCAACTGGACGACCATCTGTCAGGAGGGCTTTGATGGTGTCTTCCTTTACTGCAAAAAGTGGTAGGGCTGGATAGCCTATGGGGCCCCTTTAACTGCCATGGCTCAATACTGTGGAATAATTCCACGGTGTAGACCAAACAGGGCAAACTTGGGCCCTCTGGGGGTTTTGGACTCCTTCTGGACTCCTTCTTCTAAAAATGAACAGAACATTTTACATATATAGAAGATTGCAACACAACAGATATAAGGGTGGTTTGCATGTCCAGCCACATAAACAAGCTGAATCTAAGAACCAACCATAATACAAACATTCTTATGTTGTTAATATAGAGCTGCAGAGTTAGGCAAGATAATGGCTGCTTCCTCTGTTCTAGCACTGGGGCCATGGGAATTTAGCAGATGCAAAGATCTGTCAGGTCAGAAGGGATTAGCAATCCCGTGCTTCATTCTCTTCCATCCTAACAAGTTCAAACGATGGGAAATGCAGATGAGGAAGAGAATAAAATTAGGTAAGACTGGTAGAAAGCTGAACTCCCATTATTATGAGATAGGACACAAGACCAAAAGGAAGATGTAACTGTAACAAAAGAACAATCCATGAATGTAGATCCAATTGCTAGTCCCCAACTAAAGTAGACTCGATGAATCAATGCAACTGATTCCATTGATTCAAATACTCTGCTGTACTTACTATCAAGTGGAGTTAAACCATGCAGTTTTGTTGGACTAAGTCACACCCAAACTTGCCTGATATTCCACCATTGAATGCTCTTCCAGTTCTTCTGGGCCATCTTCTGAAATGTCCAGTCTCTCCCATTCATTGCTCTCTAAAATGTATTGATTGTTAAGACATGAATCATGAAGGAAATCACTAAGCTTGTCACCTTCCATACATAAGAGTATTTTTTCAACTTTTGTTAAAGTTCATATGTTGGAGTGATTTGTGTGTTAGATTTTCAGGTCTAGGAGTGACTTTTCACAATGGTCAGCCTAAAGGGTTGCATGGGATTGGCCTTAACTCTAGTGCTAGTCTCTGACATGGATTATCTGAAAGAAGGGTACAAATTACAAGGAAAATGTAATGTCTCAGACTACCTTGGACTGACTCTTTCTAACAGTTACTGTCCAACATATGCAAAAAAAAAAGTGCAATTGGAAGCTTGAATAACACTTTACAACCATAAAGACAGCACCACACTAGGTTTCATTTTTCTTTCGAAAGGACACATTGAAATTTACCCTATGAAATTCTTGTGGAGAAGGAATTTCCAGAGACAGATGACAGTGTTCAACTGGAGCTATTTCCGGAAATAAAGACATGACATATTTTGGATCTTTTCAATGATTTGAAAGTGTGCCCCTTGAGATGTGCCCCTTGAGAGTCTCATTAGTCCTAACCAGCATGGCCAGTGACACATGTTGGAAATTGTAATCTAACAACTAGGAATCCACTGCTTTGTGGAAGGTAAATTAATTTGTGACTGTAATTCCACAGCTGCTCTGAATTGAACAAGTTTTGATGATGCCAGCTTTCAAGAAATAGGAGCCTTACATTCAATTTGGAGCAGATGTTGGATAAGTAGCAGTAAAACCAAAACTGAACGTGGCAGTCATGTGGTGGTAGATTCACTGACTGGTCCTGACAACATCTGAACAGTCACATTTGCAACCTGCTCTGTCCTGATCAGACTATATGCTAGGTATGATTTGGAACCATCACAGTTTTGGGAATCAGCCCTGTTTTCCCCACAGGTAAGAATCTGATGATTCCCCAAGTTTTTTATGCCTGTGATCATAACAACATAAGGAGGCAAAAACATTTCTACAAGCCTTTTGTGTTTAAATGGTTTTATCCGTTATGCTTTGTATTGTATTTTCTCATACTGTTCATCCTTTTGCACTTTTATTTTGATTTATTTAAGGAAAACACCCTGAAAGAACAACTTTAAAGCAATATATGCATTATACAAAATGCTTTAATGAGTTTAGATTATCAGCCGACTCAACTATAATAAATAAATTAATATTAGTTGAAGTTAAACTATTGGGTTTTTTTGGATTGAAAATGCTTTCATGGAGGAAAAAACACAATAGCTGGTATGTGATTAGTGAACTATAATGTTGTAAACTAGACTAGCAAATTCATAGCTTTTTATCTTCACATTTATTACCATATACCAATGAAGTGCAATGATCCTGAAGCCCACCTTAAAATCCAGCAAGACACACCAAGAGAAAGAGTTCTGTGGTGTTGATGAGCAGGGCACTGAAAGATGAGATGCCCAGCCCTTTCCCAGGAGCCAGCAGCAGTGCAGCAAGGAATGGTCGCTGAACTCTGCAGGGATCCTTGTTTCTGCTTGTAGCACTGTGGCTCAATGGCATAAGGCAGCAGGACATATCATCCTTCAACACCCCACTCACCAGCACTGAAGAACTCTGTCCCAGTGGTAGCTGAATTTTCAGGTGGGTTTTGGAGATTGGAATAGGAGATTATGTCTGCTGCAGAATCTCAGGTAATGTCTGAACAATACATCTGGATTTTGATTTAGTGGATGATGAAACAAGTAAACAGGGAAACCTACCTATTTTGTATCTCCAGAAGTCATTTAAGGTTGTGTTTTGCCGGCCACCATAAATATAAAGAAAACCCCTGCAGATACAGGTGGCATGCTTAAATCGATCACATGGAGTAATGTCGTTCTGCAGTACTGGCTGCCATGAATACTGGACTGTTTTTCTTTTCATGCCTGGGTTAGCTGGAAACCATGGTCATGTAAATGTTTCCCCAGAATATCACTGCAGCCTGAGTAGAAAAGGAGAAAGTCAGGAAACCTGGAATGATTGATGGAACACTTCCAGAATGCTAATCAGCCTGGACAGGCCTATTGCTGAGCCACAGGCTGCCAGGCCCAGGAAAGAAGAAAGCATTTGGTAGCCAAAGGGCACCAACATGGTACAGGTCCCTAGTACAATGAAGAAAAAATAGTTCTTGGTTCTCTGTATCAGAAATTGAGAAGCACAGTGTTAGGAGACTCTTACAATAAAATGCAACTTGGTTCAAACAGGTTATCCATTGATTGTGATATTCATTGAAGCAATACACCAGTTTTGGTGTGATTTCTGCAACCAAATACAATTTTTCAATACAAAAAATGTCATTGAAAGTATTAGAGAAGAGGGCTGGAATACTCAGATAGTTGTTGTTGTTAACTGTCATCAGATCCTAATCAGGAAATGGTAACTGTTTTGTATTCTCATTTGCAATTATGACACTATTAAAGCAAATCACAAATCACAAAATAAATAGACACTAACATTACTCCATGGCAATGAGGCAGCAGAGAAATCTTCCCTTGCAAGGAACAATCCAGGGAGCTGTTTCAAGAGGTCAGAGGAATATTATATACTGGTCCTCAAGGAGAAATCCCTGACCACTCAGCAGCTCTCTGAGTGGTAAATAATTTGTAAGGAACTTGCTGATAATCAGATCTGTTCTGACTTGGATGCTGCTATCGACACAGTTCCAATGGATTTAACTTTGGCTTCTGCTTATCCAGTGTTGATGGATACTTTTCAATTGGTGTAGCCTGAGTTTGTGGGCAGGATCCTTAGAGGTGAGAGCTACCACATGCCCTTCCTGGCTGATCGAACAGGCCAGAGGGTGATTGGCAGATGGGGTGAAGGTGGTGGTCAGTGCAAAATTCCAACCTGCCTAAAGGAGGCAGTTGTGAGATTTATATTTAAAAAGCCATCTCTGAACCCCTCTATAATGGACAACTATCTGACAGTGTCCAGCCTTCCATTTCTGAGTAAGGTCCTGGAGTGTATGGTAGCCTCCCAACTCCAGGAATTTCTGGATGAAATGGATTATCTACATCCATTTCAATCTGGTTTCAGGTCTGGTTATGGAACAGAGACAGCTTTGGTAGCTTTGGTGGATAACCTACGAAGAGAGCTACACAGGGGCAGTGTGTCCATGTTGGTTCTCCTGGACCTCTCAGCAGCTTTCGATACCATTGACCATGGTATCCTTCTGGGTTGTCTCGTTGGAATGGGACTGGGAGGCACTGTCTTACAGTTGCTCCGGCGCTTCCTGGAGGACTGTACTCTGAAGGTGGTGCTGGGGGACTCCTGTTTGAGCCCCTAGCCAACTAGAACTTAAACACCTTCTTCTTTAAAAGCCTACCTGAATAAACTGGTTTTAGTCTGCCCCCGGAAGGACTGTAGAGAGGGCCATTCTGGCTTCCCTGGGAAGAAGGAAGTTCCAGAGTCAAGGGGCAGCCACTCTCTCATTCCCACCAACTGAGCTTGAGATGAAGGTGGGACTGAGAGAAGGGCCTCTCCTGAATTTCTCAGTGTCTGAGCAGGTCCATACAAGGAGATGTAGTCAGCCAAGTAGCCTGGACCTGAACCATCTAGGGCAGAGATCCTCAAACGTTTCAAACAGAGGGCTAGGTCACAGTCCTTCAAACTGTTGGAGGGCCAGATTATAATTTGAAGAAAAAAACATGAAAGAATTCCTATGCACACTGCTCATATCTTATTTGTAGTGCAAAAACACTTAAAATCAATACAATAATTAAAATGAACAATACTAGCAAATATAAACTTATTAGTATTTCAATGGGAAGTATGGGTCTGCTTTTGGCTGATGAGATAGGATTTTTGTTCTTGTTGTGTGCTTTCAAGACTTAGGTTGACCCTGAGCAAGGGCCGGGTAAATGAACTTCGAGGGCCGTATTTGGCCCTCGGGTCTTAGTTTGAGGACCCCTGATCTAGGGCATTAAAAGTTCTAATCATCTCTTTCAATTGTGCCCAGTTACAGACTGGCAGCCAGTGGAGCTGCTGCAACAGGGAGGTTGTCCACTCCCTGTAGACAGCCCTAGTTAGCAACCTGGCTGCAGCTCTTTGGACCAGCTGAAGTTTCCAAGCACTTTTCAGAGGCAGCCCCATGTAGAGCACATTATAGTCATCCAGACAGGAATGTAATTAAGGCTTGTACCACCAAGGCCAGATCTGGCTTCCCAAGGAACAGGCACAGTTGACACACAAGTTTTAATTGAACACAGGCCCTCCTGGCCACCACAGATACCTGGGCCTCCAAGTTCAATGCCAAGTACAGGAGGACCCTCAAACTACAGACCTGTTTTTCAGGGGGAGTGTGACCTCATCCAGCACAGGCTGAATCCCTATTCCCTAATCTGCCTTCCGACTGAACAAGAGTACCTCTATCTTGTCTGGATTAAGTTTCAATTTTTTTGCCTTCATCCAGTCCATTACTGATGACAGGCACTGGTTTAGGATCAGGACATCTTCCTTGGCATTAGGTGGAAAGAAGTAGTAGAGATGGGTGTCATCTGCGTACAGGTGGCATCATACTCCAAAACTCCAGATGACCTCTCCCAGTGGTTTCATGTATTTGTTAACAGCATGGGGGACAAAATAGAACCTTGAGAAACCCCACACGACAATGGCCAGGAGTTCAAACAGGAGTCCCCCAGCACTACCTTCTGGGTACGGCCCTCCAGGAAGGACTGAAACCGCTGAAAAACAGAATCTCTCAGTCCCATCTCAGCAAGATGACACAGAAGTGATCAATAAAATAGTAGATCAATGGTATCAATAAAAGAGTAGATAGACAAAAAGTTACCTAAGTTTAATAGAAGAATCCATAAATGCTAACTCTCATGCCTGTCTCTAAAGGTCTCCTGAGGCAGAAAATCCTCATGGTACTCCCTTTTCAAACAAACAGTAATATAATAAAGCACACCAAAGACTTCTTGGAAAAGGGCAAAGTAACTTCTACGTGTAAGAAAGAAGCAAAACACCTTGAATTTCACAGATCTAAGAAACAGCAGACAGGCACCACAAGTTTCCTTTGTCCCTAACTGCTCTATCTACAACTGTTGGTGTTTTTCACTTTCATCAGTTTTTGACTCTATCTCTCTTTCACTCTGCTCCTATCTAACTCTTTAACAGACAAGCATTTAGGTTATATCCTCCCTTAGGCCATCTTCACAGCACTCTGAAGGCTGAGATTAATCAGCCCTAATGACACTTGCCCAGCTTCTCCTTTCACAAATGTGATACTTCACAAATGTGTAAACATAAGCGGAGTTGGACACATGGACTCTTGTGCAGATGATAGCACACTAAAGTACACAGGATTAGCATGCGAATATATATTTTCTTTATGAATGGCAATTAACCAATTGGTTGTCAGCCATGCATGTTGACCATTGATCTACATATGTTACACTACATTGTAATTTAGTATAAGGGCTGTGTAATGTAACTCTGCAAGGGGATATGATCTGCACATTACTCTGAAGCAGTTTAGGATTATATCAAGGAAGAATATCGAAATGGTTCTCAGTAAACAGTTCTCAGTAAACAGTTCTCAGTAAAGCAAGTGTAAAGGGCTATAGAGCCCAGAGCTAGAAGAGGTACAAAAAGCTCCAGGGGCTGTAACAAAGAAACAGTATAAGGTTCAAGGATCATTATCTTAGAAACAAGAGAACTTTGCAGGAATGTGATAAGAAATGTATGAAATTCTGAATGGTGCAGAGAAACTGGATCCTGTGACCGATACTAGAATCTTGGATCATCCAATGATCCAATGAGACTCTGGACAGATAAAAAGAAACAGTTATCTTACAGCACATATTTAAACTGTAGAATTTACTACCCAATATGTATTCATGCCAACTTGGATTTCTTCCAATGGGGATTAGACAAATCCTTAAGATATAATTATGGTAATAATAGTTATAGCAACGGAAGTTGTACAGGTTGAGAATCCCTTATTTGGAATTCTGACATCCAAAGTACTCCAAAATTCAAACTTGTGCACAAGTGCAGTTCAGATAGCAACATCTTAGCTTTCCTAATGGTTTAATATATGCAAAAGTTGATTCATGGACCAAATTATTTAAAATATGTTGAACAAAATTCCTTTCAGCTATGTATACAAGGTATATATGCATTATTAAATTTCATGTTTAGACTTTGGTCCCATCTCCAAGATATCTCTTTATGTATGTATATGTAAATACAGATAATCCAAAATCTGAAAAAATTAAAAATCCCAAACACTCCAGATCCCGAGCTTTTAGGATCAGGGAATCTGTATTTTAGTGCCAATATCAGAAACAATATATCTCTGCAAATGTGTAACTGGGAACCGTCACACGAATGTGCTGGGTTGTGCTAAAGGTCTACCTATAGGGATGTGGCTAGGCAATGTGGAAACACAATGCATAACTCAGTGGTTCTCAACCTGGGGTCCCCAGATATTTTTGGCCTTCAACTCCCAGAAATCCTAACAGCTGGTAAACTGGCTGGGATTTCTGGGAGTTGTAAGCCAGGAACATCTGGGGACCCCAGGTTGAGAACCACTGGCATAACTAGATCCATTATGGCATTTTCTATGTCCTGATGCTACCTTTGTTAATTTAGTGCAGATATTTGTGCACCACGCATAAAAATAGAAACCTTCTCCTTTTTGAAAACGGATGGCCATCATAATTAAGCATCCATGATTTAATATTTCTAAAAATGTTTAATATGCATTCTCTTCTTTACACTGTGGAATCAGAAGCTGCAGAGGGAGAGAGGAAGGAGACAAAATCAGTGACTGTAACTGGAATGGCTTATGGATTCTGATTACGGACTATGCAGTTGTTTTAATTGATGTTTTAAATCCTGTTTTAACTGTATTTATTTATATGTGATTGTTTTATGTGTAATGATTTAATGCTTAACTTATTTCTAATTTGTTATGTTTATGTTTGATATGGAATC